TTTACGATCTTCAACGTATTTATATATATATATATATATATATATATATATCATCAGTTCATCATTAATTTCAGTTCATAGCTAATAACTATAGTTATAATGGGTGTTCCATGAGCAGGAAATATTTAATTAGGTAATAGTAGACCTCGAAAGGTGATTCCCAACTTATTTCGTAATAAAAGCCCTGCTTAATTAATATGGACTTAAATCTTATCAAAGAAGGACGTTTTTCTAAAAGTGGAATATCTGTAGTAAAGTTGGAGGGAGGGGGATTAAAACAAAAAATCGCTAGCAGTTCATGATTTTTTTAAAACTATAACTTACTATAGTTTATCCGCTCAAATGTCTTCTTTAAATGGTTTTAACAATGAAAAAATATAATTTTGTTTGAAGTAAATTTTGTCTAGTTTACTAAGCAATTGTTAATTAGCTGAATTAAATTTAGTTACCGCTTCCAATTAAAAAAAAAAAGTGGCTTACTTGAAAAAACTCAAAATTATTATTTCCTACTTTTTTGCCGAAAATCGGACCACTATTTATACGAAATTATTTGTAGCTCTTAAGATCTACTACTGGGTCAATCCATTTGTAATCATCCAGACCACGTTACATGACATTTTTTATTTTTATAATTTTTTCACCAGTTATTCCATATTTGTTTGAGAGTTCAAGACCGCAATTAAAAAAAATTTGAAACTTACAGTTTTTTCTCGGCGACCATTTTTAATTTTCTTTTCGACTGTGAATATGTTTTGAGAAATTGCCTGTAACTCTGGTTGTTTTGTCGATATCAAGCAAAAAACAAAATGATATAATTTAGAATACTTTTTCTACGTTGTTTTTGATCATGAAAATATAAAAAAAAAAAAAGTGACCTATAGGGCTGCAAAAGTGTAATAAATAAAAGGATTTTAACTTTAATTTTTTCTTCATTTGTATTCCTACCACTATACTTCTTGCTTGAAATTTCAATCCTTTATTAAATATGAATTTTCAAAAACGCTCCAAAGTCGTATTATTTTAACTCTCAAATAAATCTGGAATAACTGGTGAAAAAATCTCAAAAATGTCGAGCAAAAAAATTAATTGAGATTGGGTGATTTCAAATGGATTGACCCTACTAACTTTTTAAATATTTATCTCTAAACCCTGAAGAGAAACTGGGTTTAAAATCTTGAACCAAATCCAAAAATAAATCAACTTGTTGAATATGGATACCGTTTAAGGTAATCTGCAATGCTTCATCTTATGGTTCACATTCTATACGTATAATGATATCACGCAATGTTGGAAGACAAACAAATAAACAGTTGTGATATTATCAAGAAATAAAAGTAATAGATATTACAGAATTAGTAGTATTGAGAAGAAAATCTGAAGAGATAAAGGGAATAAGAACATTTTAGTTGGATAGAAATCCAAGTTAGTAAGGCGGTCACAGCAGGCTAAACCGCAATTCGGTTACTCGAGTTTATCCCACCAATTGACTGAGTCGGCTTTCAGTCCACATGCCGCCATAAACTAGCTTATAAGTCTGAATATTGTAGTATTTTCAACTTTATATTAAAATTTTAAAAAGGATATATTCATGAATCTGAATTCCTTTTTTTCAACGCTTACAATAAGATTTAATTGATCTTTTAACAACAGATCCGGCCTAAACAAATCTTTATTCTTTCGTAGGTTGAGTGGATTTAATTCAGAAAAAGTACTGAATTATTTATATCTCTTAATCGGTGGTTTCTTATTTGAAAAGAAAGTTTTTGATTTTCCGAACAATTTTTTTAAATTATTCTTAATTTTTGTATAACGAGATCATTCTTATATTTAGTGTTGCCCAAATGCGAGACTGAGACGAGCCTTGGTCTTGCGCAAGAGTCTCGCAACAGTCTTGCAGTTACTTATTAGCTTATTACTATAGAGATATTACTGTAATTTTTTAGATAAGAGAAACCTAACTAAGCCCGAATGAAAAATTAGAGGAGTTAAATGCAAAAGTATATTCGTTATACCAATTAGTAACATATAAGTAATTATTAACATAAAACTAAAATTGTCGAGTATTAGTAACTATTTTGCCCCAATTTTTATTTTAAAAAATTTACCAGTCATGGTCTTGGTCTTGCAACAATTAGGCGGCCTTGGTCTTAGTCCAAGACCGATTTTGGGCAATACTACTTATATTATTTGACTATTTGATGTCGCCGGGCTTTACATTCATTTTTCAGGTTGAAAAAAAAAGTAATGGTGTTATTTTTCTGTATTATTTTAAGAAATGGAATGGTGAAATTAAAATTAATCTAACTCGACCACAAGAAGGGAGATCCCAATGTAAATTTAAATAAAGTAACGAATATTGCTGTCCCCAACGTGTGGATGCGAAGTTCTTCATGCTTCGATATGAAATAATCTGTATCCATTAATTTTTAACGATGGGGAATCTTATTATTATATTACGCTATTTCGAATTATATATACCTTATTTAGCTGTCTCAAATACTATGATTATAAAGGAGGAAAATTGTTTGTTCTCAAAATTGAGAAAAACGACGTAACGAATGTATATTAATTTCCATACAATCCGGTTAATTTAATATGAAGGAAATTTGTTTTTAAAAAATCTGTTTGTGGTACCAGGTATCATCAGTCCATGTGTAATCTTGAGGCATAAAATAGCCGACTGGAGACTATACATTTTTTTTTCCGAAACATGCCCTGTCACAAAAATGCGTAATGAATGTTATAATGAGTTTAATTAACATTGTTCCATTAACATAATGGATGATAATTGCAAAATACGCAGTATCGAGGTATTTATTTAGGGTTAAGGTTTCATGTCTATCCAACATTTGGTTAAATCAATAACAGCGATTTTGCATGAAAACGTAACGAATGCTACTATTATTAGTATAAATTTAATAAAATTTATTTTAATTGTTCCTATTGCCAATTAATCAGTATTTTTATTATAAACATTTAGAGAACAGGAAGAGGAATTTAGGTGTTTTTCTTATAAGTATTGATGAAAGATACGAAAATCATATTTTTTTTTTTTTAATTTATATCATGTTGACTTGAAATATTTATGGTTTACTTTTATCTTTATTATATTTATAGCCATTATATCTTTCCAATATTCTAAGAAAGTTTGTTTATTTAAACTTTTTGAAGAAAAACTTTCTCGTTTAATAAGCTTTAAGTACATATCAATTAAGTTATAGTTTAAAAAAAAAACATTAAAACTTAAAAAAACAAATAAGAAAAGTAATATTAAGAAAACTGATTATCGAAGCTCAGATTTGTTATCTAGGACATCAATAATATATATTTGAGATCAATTTTTCTTCGAAATGTTGATATTTTTTTTAATCCGCATTGCTAGATTCAGAAATGCTTAATGGTCAAATCATATAAGAATGACCCAATGATATCATGAATACTTTTTTTCCAGAATTTATATTCTTAAAGTAAATCAGACTATTGTTGGATCATTATTAATTCCCTAATCGCTTAGGGTATAATTGGATCAAATGTTTTATGAGCAGTTTTCGACGGTTATATGCTTTTCAGAGCCCCTTGAATCCGTAATACCCATTTTCGGCCATTGGTATTTCTTGGTCAAAGAGAGGATTACATCTTGAAAGAGTGACTGATTTTATCGTTTCCTCTGACTTTTGTTTTGTTTTTTTTCGGATTTAAACTCCCCACAAGAAGATATACCATTCCTTTGTAGAAAGCGTAGCCACTTACGGATCAGAAGTCTGGACACTGACAAAAAAGATGGAAAATAAGCTGCTTTCCATGGAAATGAATTTCTGGAGAAGAAGCTGTGGCATATCCAGAATCGAGCGGATCCCAAACGCAGCTATTAGAGACAAGTTCGGATGTCAAAAGAACATCCTTCACCTGATCGGGACCAAACGGTTAAAGTGGTATGGCCACTTACTGCGGATGGATGAGAACCGCTGGCCAAAGAAAATCTATAACTATATGCCACCTGAAAGAAGGAAGCGTGGAAGGCCAAAGAAGAAATGGACAGAGGACGTGGAAGAAAGCATGGCAGCCAGAGGGCTTCGTGAGGGAGATTGGATGGACAGGGAGCAGTGGCTTTTGGGTGTTGGGGATATGACTCCTTAAGTTGTGCAAAACCCAAATAAAAAAAAATAAAAAAACTCCCCACATTGCATAGTAACATTTTTTTATTTTTTGACATAAAATCCAAGAAAGTGAAATGCAATCTCAGTAATCCGGAACTTCGATAGTCCGGGACACACCAATAACCCAAAGTTTAAAAAAAAAATAATTAATATATTTCAATTTTATAGGTCAGGACTTCAGTTCATTAGTAATAATGAAAACATTCAATTTGATCACGAAAATCATACTTTGTTTCTTTCTCGATATCTTCGCAACCCTCGGGTCACTTTTAAGCGAAAAAACTATTTTAAAAGATAATTAAAATGGATTGAATTGCCCTTGTCAATATCAGCCCAAATGATTTAAATTTTCTTTTAACTTAGCTTTCTTCCCTTGAAAATGGTCTAAGGGCTGAAACGTTGGTGTAGAGTTTAGAAAAAAGTAGGACTTATTATTATTAATAAAACAAATATATTGTAAGTTAACAGTGTATTTTTATAAATTTATCGAAGACAAGATATGGAAGATTGTTCTACCTTCTGACTGTTTAAAAAGTGAGAGAAATTTCGCTTTTTTAATTCATGAAGCACACCACTTTTTTAATAACAACTGTTTTTATCTAGTACTGATCTGATCCTTCGCATGCTATTGAAATCTATACGTAACATGGGTTGTATGTAAAATGTGTTTCACATTAAAGACAGCCCATCCAAAATTTCATATCGTATAATATGACTCCAGGGGAGCAAAATGAATATTACTTTACAAGCTAACATTCTCATTCTAACATCTTTAACATGCTTTCATCGCTATGTCTTGATAGCCATTTGGTCGAGTTATACTTTTCACAAAATAGAACTTACCCCTCAGAACAGAGAGTTGAGACATTCCTTGATGCTCGAATGGCTGTCCTATGATACTGCCCAAGGATGTAGGCAGCACTGGTATAGGAGGTGGCAGCATACCCTGGTTTCAGGAAGTTCGTTAGCAATGGGTGATGTTATCAGAGAGGATGTCAATCCAATCCTATCTTATTTTCATTGAGGAAGGCTTACAGTAGTCGTTAATTTATTGTTGAAAGTTAGATAACCCATTTGTAGGGGAAAACGTGGATTCGAAATCAAATTTTAACGAAAAAAAAAAAAACGTTAGGCCCGTAGATCTCCTAATATTCCCACATTTCATATCCAAAACACGCAATATACAAAAATACCAAATTTATTAAAAACAACGTTTCGACACAATTTTTGCATTCCTAAATTCTAATAATACAAAACAAATATTAAATGGTAATTTGAAAATTGACAAAAATAAAAATACTATGTAAAGATTTATTATATTGGGTGTAGTATGTTTTGGATACTAAATTAGTATTATGGAGGTAAGTTCAAATGTGTACTTCATCTTAAATAGTGAAGATAATAACTAAAGAAAAAATGAAAGTTAAGTAACATGTAATCTTCGGCATCAATTTAAATTGGAACTGATAGTTTATTGTGTCAAATAATGAGTATTTTGACAGGGATCAACCAGTTGAAATATAATAAAACTAACTGTTTTTATTACTCAAAATGCACTCCATTAATCACGAAACATGTCTCTCTGCATACAGTTTTTTCGGTTGGCGCTACAGACCATGAAGATCTTTGACCACGAGTGTGGTGTCCTAGACCACATCCCGATTCCCGAATTGAAGTAAGGGGTAGGGTTATCAATCCTACGCCTGGTCGGTGTGAGTTGCCTACAGTAGCCTGACGGGCCTCATATACCCGAGGGGGAGAAATCTCGGGCAGCGTGACTTTCCTTGGTGGACGGTCACCGATCCAAGTCCACGCTTGGCGTTGCTTAACTTGAATTAATCTATTGCAAGCACCTTAGCCCGCAAGCCTACACCACCCCCTTCTCCCTGTATATGTATATGTTTATATATATATATATATATATATATATATATATATATATATATATAATAACTAAATGTTATCTTTTATCTATTCTCTCTAAATAGAATGTTACACCGTTGTTATTATACAAATGGCTGAAGAATGAGACAGATTTCTAAAAAAAATGGTAGTCTGTAGATACCATATAGATGTTGTTTAGATATAGAGAGATGTTTGGTGAACAGAGCGGGTGTGGTTTGTTTCTGTTTTGGCAAAGAAGTTCAGAGTCAATTGCACAACGAAGATTTGGCGGTCATTTAATGCATAAGAAACGCAACATTTAATTTTTTACCTCATCACTATGAGGTGATGGAATCTATTTGCTAACTAAGAGTTTCTCTGAAAGTTCTCGAACATTTGTTCTGGAATTTTCAATTGGCTTCAAGGAATAAGTGAAAATTTCTGCTCGAAATTTTTTGAACCATCGTTGAATGGTGCATTCACTCACACTGTCGGCGCCCCAGACTTCGCTAATATTTCTGATCTTTTGAACCACGATCCGGACAAGTTTGAACTCGTAAAATGAAATGAAAATCACGCTTTGACTTCTCAGAAAAGAATGAATTATTTCCAATTACTGAAGTGTTGCAGAAGATGAAAGATATTTTAGTTTGGAAGAGGATTAATAAGTGTTGACACCTATACAAAATAATGATCCCTCAAACGTCAACAGTATGTTAAATAGATGTAAAGAAAATATGATCCTGAATTATTTTCCGGACCCCTAGAAATTTATCATTATTTGATACATGAATTGAAGTAAAAACAATATTTTGTGAAGTTGGTGTAAATTCATAAAACTCATTCCTCTTTCGTGTTTCAACTAAAGAGGAACAGAGGCAAAAACCTTCATAGGTAAAATTTGGAGAGAAATAAACTGATTGATTGAAACTGACAAATCAGGAAAGTTATAGTAATAGTTGGATATTATAGTTTATGAGTGTACTAACCGGGTCGCTGCCTGCTGAACTCCTGGCATCCTGCTCTCCTAGAGCCGACCAAGTCTCCTCAAAGTTTTCGTTGAGCGGGTCATGGTGGACGTCATCAGTCACGCCGTCGTCACCGCTAACATCGTTCCCATCTGGTATACCTCCCAAATCCATGGCATTCTGGCTTCTGCAAACGAAACACTGAATGCTGCAATCAATATTAGCAATGTATAATACAGAATAAATAGCTCCTTCAATACGTATTATGTATCAATATTTCGCAAAGTCAACAAGAACGAATAATCTGATGAACTACTGTGCTTTACAATCAAAGCATATGTGATAGAAAAGGTCTTGGACGATCATCAAGGGAACCACAGTGCGATGATGAACTAATCCATTAACATCTGATCGTGTTAAAGCACCCTAAATCTTACTTCAATTCCTTTATTTCGTTTCTTTCCTTTATTTCATAACAAGTATATTATAGTTTATTATGTAGCATATATTATAATTATTTTCCCATCAATTTCAATTTAATCAAATCTATCTGTAATTGGGGACCGATATAGCAGAATATTTAGCGCGCTATTCTAGTAAAGTAGAGATCACAGGAACGAATCCCGGCCTCTACTTCCCAGTATGATTGGTCCTCGCGGGAAGTTAGATCATTACCTTCTTAATCAGGGGAGGCCTACAGATTGAAACATACTTGTAAAAACAGACTAGAAAAAAAAATGTTACTGGCTATATTATAACAGTTAATATTAAATATTAAATTAATTATTAAATAGGTAAATATGCAATGATCGAAGAACAAACTTGAAGAGAAACAACAGGAATAAAGTTATTTTATCAATCATCCAACATTTAGCAAGATAATGTCCTTCATATCATTCAATAATTGTTTTATCTAACAACCATTAGACCAAGTACTTAAGGAATATTAGGGGAAGGGAACAAAGATTAGAACAACATACATAAAGTAGCCCAATCACCAGATTATTACCTGTAATATAATATAATTATTCCTTTTATTGTTTATTGAATTATTTTGTGAGTTATTTTTTACGTAAATGATACTGAAATATTGGAAAGCTAGTGAGTGGAACTAGCATCCTTCCAAAAAAAATATCTTTCGGTGCTGGTTGACACCTGTACTAAGATCACTGGATGAATTGATAAAATTTAAAATTGAATTTACGTTATTCTTCCGTTATATGAAGAATTGACTTAACATCTAGAATATATTAGCTAGTGATCCCATCATACTTCACCTTTTAATTTGGCATGGATCTAACCAATTTATATCTGAATAATGCACTAGCGGATCCAGGATTTATTTTTGGGGGGGGCTTCAGCCCGAAAGTTTTTTTTTCATAAAAACAACGATAATTACTTTGGAAAAAAAGAAAGAAACTAACTACCTGTATGAAATGGTGTTTAAGTTATTCCTAAAGCCCTTTTAAATGTTATTACATGAATAATAATACTTTAAGAGATACTTTTTAAATATTTTTTTCGATAAAACATGGTTATATTTTAGCATTTTGGGGGGGGGGCTTCAGCCCGAAAGCCCCCTCCCGTAGATCCGCCCGTGGAATAATGTGTTGTTTAGAAGTGTTTAGAAATTTTCGAAATTCAGAATTTTGAAAACAACTACAGGCAAATTCTTGTTTTGAGGTTGTAATGTTGAAAATCATATGAAAGATGACGCAGTAACCTTTCAAATGAGCCATCAAACTATAATTAGAGCCATAAATAGAACCATTAAAAATGATTAGATTTTTTATATGTTCAGTTGCTATAACTTATATTCGAAAAAACATATAAATTTGAGACGATTGGGGTCAAGCTGCTTTCAAATAGAAGGAGCCTACGTAACTACCCTACCCTTAATTCTCAGCATATACTACTAGTAAGATAACCTGTACAACTTCGATAAACATATTTTATGGAAACATAATCTGATTGAAAAAGAAGTGATTTAACTTTGTGATATCAATAATCGTTTAGCTTTTAGTACAAAGCTTATAGTAAAATTGAGAAGAATTCCAAAACCAGCTAAGTACATATTCTAGTTTTTTTTTTTTTTACCATCATTCTACAGTTCTTCTAATAGGGAACAAATTATATTTTAACCTTGTGATAACAAGGTGAAAGGACTTCTTCCATAAGCAGAGATGTCAATCAAACAATGATTTCATGTAATTAGTTCAAAACGTTATCAGCTAATTCTGAAATAACATCAAGCGCCTAGTAATAAATTTTTAAAAAATATATGCTTTCAAAAATTAATCACTTACACTTCAGACCCTTCGTATTTTCAATATTTTTCCTCCTCCTCTTCTACATGTCCTGAAACGTGATTTTAGATGCTTAACCTACACATGTGTTAAACACCACATGTTATATTTTATGCGAAAAACCTAAGTGGGTTTTCTAGAGTGAGAAAACAATGCTGAAAATATTTTATGCCCAATATTTTACCTTCCCCTCTCCGTGTAAAATTTTATCTATTACGCTCTTTTGTCGCAAAAATCATTTATTATGAAGTTTAACTAGTATTTAGCTATTAAACTTCACCAAAGAATTTTTTTTTACTTTTATTAATCAAGCAATAATTTGATAACATAAATGAGAAGTCAGTTTAGATTATAGGAGAAAATATCTCGTAGCTGTAAAAAGGGCTTATATAATTTTTATATTAAGACAAAATGCTTACAATAAATAACAAAAAAAAATTTAATCTAATATTTCCTCAAATCTTGATATTGAAGTACCCATTAATAATGCAGTTTCTATATAAGCGAGAACAACCTCCTGCACATCTTGCTATCATGAATTGGAATTGTGGTTATTTTATCCTAAAAAAATTGATGGATGGGCTATATCGTTGGAAGGTAATTCAGGTACTCAGCGACTTAAGAAATTGTATTTGTAGACAGCTAGGTACTCTGGGTAAAGAAAAGAATGCTAATGATGTTCTGATGTTCTCCCAGAGAACAGAGGTACTTCTCGACGTTCTAATCCAGGAAATATTCGAGTGTCCTGTGGCAGACCACTACATATAGAAAAATTAAGTCTAACAAAAATAAAAATTGAAGAATGCAGCCAAAATTTATTTAAAAAATTTGTCACAGTTCAAGGTGCCTATGTTATGGCCCTGAAAAGAGATAAAATAGGGACATGAGCAAGATTAATCAGACCAGGAAGGTGGACCACTTTACATTCGCTCCATCATTCTACCCCCAATGTCGTGTTAGAAACTGTCCGGTATTTTATGAATTCGGTATTTAAGGCGAAACACTTTTAATCAGAAAAAGTGGAAGGGAACAAAAATATATATTACGAATATGTTACTGTTACGTTACGTTAATTATGCTAGAAATAGCTGGCAAAAGAGCCTGGAAGAGGATCTCAAGAAAATTGGTGTAACTAACTGGAGAAAAAAAGGACCAGAATAAAGGGAAAAGAAGTTGTTCGGGAGGCCAAAGACTATCGACCAAACAAGTAAGTACGTTAATTATGTGTATCTTAGGATGTTAAACAGTATTGCAATTCAAAAAAACAAAAAAAAAGTTGTACAAATACTTCCTTTATTGATTATTCTCACTGATAAAGGCATATTTTCATTGCATCCTTTTAGTATTAAAAACAATCTGTGATTACTCAACATACCTAATTGAATTCCCTTTTATTGCTTAATTTGACTAAATAAGTTAACAAACGTAAAGGAATGATAAGATCAAAAGTAGGCTGCTCTGACAGCCTTATGTTTCTTTATTTAATTCTTTTCCTTTCTCGGGGACAACAGGACAGTCGTAAATTCGGTCTGAGATGGAATTCCGAGGATTTGTCTGACAAAACCCTGTTGTCAGTCCCATGTCTGTTATGGCATAGGTAATGTTTTTTTCTAGCGAGGCTGCATCGCCTGGTTTTATTCTCAACAGGCTTTAAAAAAAATAGTAATTTATTTCCGAAACATCGGTGAAATATTGTTAATATAAATAATTATATCATATTATATACACATTTTGCATTATATACCTTATAAAATTGAGGCACTTACATAATTCCTTATATATCTACGTTACATAGTATGTGTGTATTTAAGTGACATCACTTTGGGTGTATAATCTTAGTGCCGTAATTAAGGATTGCACCCAATACAAGCCTTTTTCAGAATGAGGGGAACTGAATTATGGCTAAAATTAAAGAGGTTAAATGATATTTTTTTAATATATATTAATATGTGTGACATTTTATATCTGCCATTCACTTAAATTCAATATTTGGTTCGTAGAAGAAATGATAGAGGTTCCAATTGACCGAAAAACATCTGCTTTTTAACAGAAAAAGTTTATTTGAATACAGTTTTCTCAGAGTTCAAAAAGTGTTACTAATCGCCTTACCTATGCGACCCTTCAGTTGTTAATACCAATGTAATTATAACTTTTTACTATCCCAAATGAACAGGTATTTTTTTTTTACTAGTTTAAATTTGAATATGGATTTTCGCTAAATGTTTTGCAGTCTTATCGATTTCTTCTCGACTCTCCAAAAATAACAGATAAAATTACTGTAATAATCCTGTGACATGTCAAAAATTATTAGACAATGTAGCTGGTACGGCATAAGAGCCGGGGCTACAGTGAATCCCAAGCCATTTAGGGATTATTGTGAATTAGAAGGCAGTTGGTTTGACTAGACCAGAGGTCTTCAAACTACGGTCCGGATGCCGGATCTGGCTCATGAAAGTTTCTGTAATTACACGGTAAAATTTTATGAAAGTTAGTAAATCACTCACACACGAAGTTACTACTACTATCTATATAATTGTCATTCAGAGTAACAGATTTTTTTTTCAACAAAAGCCATGGCCGCGGAACTTAGTCCAGGTCTCAATGCGGCTCGCGGACCAAAACATTTGGAAACCCCTGACCTAGACTTTTGATTCGCATATAAAGTACTGGATGAAATGCTGCCATATTTTTTTTATTTACCTTAGGCCTCTTAGTTTCCTCCATGAGTTTTCAAACAGCTCAGTTAATGTCGGAATTTGATGAATTGGGTGTTCGTATATACGACAAAGGAGACAATGATTTAAGATTCCTACATCCATAGAGAACTCGTTGCTGAAGAAACTACGGTTAGTGAATCCTACTACACCTATTTAATGTTTTTTTTAATAAGTAATCATGTCCGGTGATAATCCTAAATTCTGCAACTGCGTCCTTCGTGGTTGCAGAATTTCGGAATATCGATTGGAATGTACCCGTTTTCCATTAACACGGCCCATTGTTTACCGAAAGTAGCTCCGTCTAATCATCTTGCAGTTTCTCTTGTTGGCATAACTATATTTCTTTACGTGCTCAACACTATCTTATCCTATTCTCTGTATATAACTACGTTACCCTATCCTTCGCTAAAACGTCCGCCTTGTTATCACGTTGCAGTCACAGTGCTCTGGAATTCATTGGAGTAAAACCTCTCTCTTCCTCAACAACAGTTCTTCTATGATTCCAGACAACGCATTGCATCAACCAATGTAACATCGCTAGGTCTTGAAACTACCAGAATTACAGTTTAGATGCTGCCATATTAAATCAAATATTATTTGGTTGTTTTGTATTTTATGGGGTTGGAAACTAATAGAAATGGGAGTTATTACTACGTGCATTGTCATTACATATGTATATTTAATTGTTTTTTTTTTTGTGGGTTTTTTAAGCGGCTATTATTCGAAACGCGTGTTTTCCTTTGAAAAAACGTGAAATAGATAAGTAAATAGATTTGTTCTATATTTTTTTCAATACCTTCCTTGGTTCCACCTCCTTCTTTACTCGTTAAAAATAAAAACACCTGACGAACCACAATTGTTTCAATTTTATCACTTAATAGTATTTTTGTTTAACAGCTGTTAAATTAATCATACTTTGTCTTCTCCATATATATATGTTACAATTATTCAGCTGACAATATATTGAAGGCACTAGCGGATCCAGGATTTAATTTTGGGGGGGGCTTCAGCCCGAAACCTTTTTTTTCATAAAAATAACGATAATTACTTTGGAAAAACAGAAAGAAACTAACTACCTATATGAAATGGTGTTTAAGTTATTCCTTAAGTATTTTTAAATGTAATTACACGAAAAATAATACTTTAAGAGGTATTTTTAAAAATATTTTCCCATAAAACATGGTTATATTTTTCCATTTTGGGGGGGGGCTTCGGCCCGAAAGCCTCCCCCCCCCCTCCCCCCGCAGATCCGCCCGTGATTGAAGGTTAATTGGGAGGACAACTACACAATTTTTATAGCCTCAGCGGATATTCATAAACTGGAGTCAGTCTAATAATTCTGCGGGAATCAAGTTGCCGGGTATAAAAATTTACTTAGAATATGGATGACCGTTTGACCCCCTTAACATTTGGACAAATCACAATCCTCTGCAGATGACTGAGAGGTAAAATTTTCTTTCACTTTGTCATTCTTTTCCATGTGATTCAACCTATTATTCACTAATAATGAAGATAAATTCAACTTCTCGTAAATAAACATTATAGGTTATATTACAAACCTACAAAAGAACACGATCTGAAATATTATCTCATCCGTGTTATGAATTATGAAGTATTTTTTCTACAAACTCAAAATGAACTGGATTCAGTCCACGGAACCATCTTGTGTTAACTGGTTTAAATTATCAAAAGTTGATCATTTCGCCACACACACAGTAGCATGTGCCAGAAATTATTCCAAATAAAAAAAATTGATTAAAAAAATTGTCCCTTCCGTTCCTTCTGAATTGATCTGGATATGCCCTTGATTAGCATCCTACAATTTCGTTCCAACAAACATATAGTTTTATTTGATTTTTTTTTTTCAAGTTTAAAGTATATACTTTAAAGCTTACACAAACATTATGTTTGCATTCAATTAGTTTTTTATTACTCTATAATATAATCGAAAAACATTTGTAATGAAATCTTAATATCGATTATTTTTGAGTCGTTTAACCTCCTCGCTGGTTATTTATTTACAGTATTGTAGTCCGTGCTAGAAATTACTCTAGATAAAGTTCCTAGTTCTGTACCATTTAATTATTGGATGGTAGGAGCAATGTCTCTCGAAAATATTCCAAAGGATCTGAGATCAGCTAGAGCCTGTTTAGTGTGCTCTTTAATTAAGGTAATTTTTATAAACACAAGCTGTTTTTGTCTTTAAAACTGTTTTTTAAGTATTTTTTTTAATAGTCATTTGAGCAATTTGAATTTGATGGGTGTGATAACTGTGATGAATTCTTAAGGATGAAAAACAACAGAGAAAATGTTTATGACTGTACCAGCTCAAATTTTGATGGGTAAGATTAACACATCCTTTTTGCTTTATTTCTATACTTATTAAACATTTTAATATTGTCTGTTGGGTTTTTTTTCTTTTTTTTTTTTATCCAGAATGATAGCTCTAATGTCGCCTGAAGATAGCTGGGTTGGTAAATGGCAGCGAATCAGTAAGTCATTTATATATATGGTAGTAAAATTGTGATAATGTCATAGTTTCATTTCTTTATATTTATAGATAAAATATGAATTTTAAAGCTAATATAATAAAAAATCATTAGCCAGTCTTATAAAAATTAAATGAATGAAGAAATAATTTTATTCTGGGACTTAAATTTCCTAAGAATAATAATGGAGTACAAAAAAATTAGTCTGGCTTCACATAATACGAAGAGGTGCTTGTCATTTAAATGTTAATTTCAATTGCAATTCCAATTATACAGTATACAAAGTGTTGATAATTTTGTTTTAACTGTTATTTAAGTACTTATATATTTTTTAAGTAGATTGTTATAATACATATCAATCTAAAGTCACTTTTTTTATCTGTTTTCAAAATCAAAACAATGTATGTGATTTAAGTTTTGAGAGTCAAACAAAATTTCATGTTCGTTTTTTCTTAGTAATATATGCACATTCATGCTTCTGTCTTTTGACATATAATATAAAATTTGTAACTTTTTAATTCAGAAATTTCGGTGTAAAATTTAACACTTATAGCCTTTCGAATTTTATCACCTTCATCAGACATCAATATTTTCTGTAATAAACCAATATATATCTTAGTAATATTGAATATTAATGAGATAGATGTTAATGTATTTCAGTTAATATTACGTTCAGATACAGTTTTTCATTGTCTTAATTAAATAAATCCACTTTATATAAGTTTAATTCCACCAACGAATTTCTAAAATGTTCCTGAGGGTAACAATAAATTTCTTGTTAAGTACAACAATAAGAATAAAGTTTTTATTACTGGTTTATTTGTTAAGTTGAGTAGAAAGGTTAACATTTTTATTAAACTTTTTCGCCACCTCGTGTTTGATATTTAAAAATTATAATCCACCATGAAAAATCAGCTGAAATCAACTTTCAAAGATTCTGATATAAATGTTTAATCACTATTTTTTTCTTTAATTCTGCAAATGAGTTTTCTTGATTGTCTTTGCAATGAATTTTCTAGTGCTATTAGCTTCTTAAAATTTTTAATAGCGGATTGATCAGTGCTTTCTATTTCAGTTTGAACTTTCATGAAAAAATAAGCCTGAGAAACTTATTGTATTAAAGTGATTTGTCTTCACTAATTAATATGGATATTTGGAAGAACATACTTATGAAATGTAACCCACAGAACACTTTTCCAAGCTAGATATTGAGTCTTCTTTGTATGCTTCTTTCCATCTGAATCAAGCATGTTCTTATACAATGGTTGCATGTATATATGTTTTTTTTTATTATACATTTTATGAACAGTACTTATTTAACAATATGGATTTATTTTTATTTTTACTATAGATAGATTCACCAGAGGAATATATGCCATATCAGTTGCTGGAAAACTACCTAATAGTGTCATCAGAGACATGAAGAGCAGAGGAATCACTTACAAACCCAGAGATAAATGTCAACGATAAATTTAGGTCATATTAATGATACCGTATTCAATTTAAGGGTGGAAGAAAATGTTCCCTTTATTTATTATAGTTTATTTTATGTCTTGAAATATCATATTGATGCTGAAATGCTAATCAGATGATCTTTCTTATATAAATATTACATTAATTGAAGACTTCTGGGGAAAACACACTAGCAAAAAAACTTGATTAGAGAAAATGAATCCATAGTTGGACTTAGCCTTCTATCCCCCTTTGTTATTTCGCAATTGCATTTTCGATAGAATTTTAATGTTTTCTTTTATCTATTTTAACCTACCGATTAATCAGTTTTGAAAAAATTTGACATCTCTGTTTTCCCATGTGGTTTTCAATTGTCTATTTTAATGGTTGTCTATTGTCATAACAAAATATTCTCAGCTTATTGTTTTATTGTCATGCTTTTTGAACTAAAATTTGTAATACATTTTTATATGATATCAATTTTAATTGTTGTTACACCCTTAATTAAGAAAAAGTTGCTGTGTCCATTTAATTCTAAAACAAATTGTACCTTTTCTTGCTAAATTGATTATTAATTTACTTTGTTTTACATTATAAAAATTTGAACCCATTTAATTAAGATTTTAAGTCAAGAATTATTATAATTATGTTATTAAACATTCTGATAATGCATCCCTACTACTTTAGTAACTTACATAGCCATTTATATTTAACATAAAGTCAGCTTATTCAGAAGAGGGACACTAATATTTTTTCGCTCAATCTGATTTTCCTACATTTTTAGGGATAAGTATTTTTTTTTATGACTTTACATTTCAGTTAAGAAGTGTATTTGAATTACTATGTAATTAATTATTATGTAAATAAGTAATAAAGTTTTTATTTTTAATATATGTTTTGGTATATTTCCTTTTTTACTTTCACTTACCTATATATGCAATATATAGTAAGGGTAAGTATTGCAATAGTGAACATTTTTGAGTATTGATTTTTCAACGAAAATACATGTTTTGAGGTCTCCTGGTTCCAAATAACCCAGTCCCCCAAAATGGTCTCTGTGTGTGTATCTTAGCTATATTATCAGTATAGCTCAAAAACGAAAAGTTATATGAAAGTGGAATTGCATATTTAATATTTTTATAAGCTTTCGATGTTACAGAAACATTTTAAGCAAACCGGAAGTGGCACTTTATATAATCGATTTAACATATTTTTACGATTTTCACAAAAACGGCTCTAACCATTTTGATTAAACTCAGTATATCAGTGTATTATTAAGTAGTTTTTAATATAATGTAGGTTTTATTTTCATTGATGTTCTCTATCAGGTCTTAAATGGCTAATTTTTTATATTGGCTTCCTCTAAAGCTCTCTCTCTCTCAGATTATGGTTAAGGTCTTCCTTACTCCATCTGAACTTGCACATCCACTGTAAGAGAGTGTCCTACTGGAAATTGTAGAAATGTGCAAACTCATATTTATAAAATAAAAAATGGAACCTATAGCTCATTAAGTCACAGCTAGCAGCACCAGAGAAGAAGTGGCCCCTTGCCCAGCTGGATATTGAGCTTTAAAAGTTGATTCATCTCTTCATAAATACTGAAGATATACCATTAAGATGCAAAGTCTTGACTACTGTCCATCTCTCTGAATAATTTTTTTTTAAATATTTAGCCTAATAGAGATAATTCAACAGCTTTAGGCATACACTAGAGCTGGTAAAATAACATAATTCTAACGCAGAGAAGATATATTTAATAATCATGTATTACTAGCATTTGATATATATGTATATTTGTTTCAATGAAAAAACAAATGATAATGATACATAGTTTATTTCATTTTCAAAAATTTTTACTTTCAATTACATATATATAGTGAAGAAAAGTATTGTGAAAATTTTCTTATCTGAATTTTCAACAGAAATACAAAATGGTCTCTGTTTGTATGTTAACAGCCTAGCTCAAAAACAAAAGATTGTACTGAAATTGTCTATTTAAGGAGTGTGCATGTCTGGGATGTTACAGCAACATTTTCATCAAAATCGGCTTACCAGAAGTGCCATTTTAAATTATAGATTTTACCATTTTCTCGAAAATTTCTCTGAACGATTTTGATTAAATTCATTATATCAGTGTAAAATTAAGCGGTTTTTAATATGATGTAGGTCTTATTTTCATTGATATTCCCTAACAGGGTTTAAATGTCTAATTTTCAAAATTTCTTTCTCTAAAATACTTTTAATTTTTTTTTTATGTGAAATAATTAATTCACATTAACAACTGATAATGAATGATGAAAATTTACAGGTAACTAAAGGAGAAATTAGGGTTGGAAGCTGTATGGAAACAGCTGAGAGTGCCCAACCTTTGCCGATCCTCTCTGTACAGATACCTGATACCCCTCTATACAAGGGTTTCATATTGTTAGTTTAGCATTTATATATCACTCACTTATCCATAATTTTAAAAAGGATTTCACTCGAAATGTTGATTTAGTCACATTAAGTTATTGTTTCAATGAGTTTCGTGATAAATATTTCCGGTAAAACTCAAAATTTTTCCAAAAATTATTTTTTCGGACAATCAGTATTGTTTAATACTATACACAGTTGTAAAAGGAAATGATGAGTGATACAAACGTATTAATTTAACAGATTCAATGAATTGTTTTAAATGAAGTTATACTGAAGTTTTCACTTTGACTTCCCAATATTTGAAATCCTATCTTCTCTATTGTCAGTCAGTGAAAGTTGTGCGATGTGAGCATTGCACCAGATTTTATTCTTAAATGTTTTCATCCCTGACCTTAGCTTGATATTAATATTTTATTAATTGTAAAATCTTCCATAAACTGGTTATGGCGGTATTATTTCATAGATCAAGTGCTTATGATCTAGATGTTTTAACATGAATATCACATCAAACTAACTTCTAACATGGAATTACTATCTGTTGAATTTTCTCCACATAAAAGCTTGAAATTCGAAAATAAAGAAACTTTTTGAGTTTCGGCATGATCCATCTCACAATGTAAGGATAAACTTGAGGTGAAGATATGATATGATTATCCAAAATAGAGATATAATAAAACATTAATTCTCTCCTATTCTACGGAAATAATTAAAATGCATTATTGCTACGATGGATTGATGCATTTATTAAAAATAGGAATGGCACTCGTGGAAAGATTATTCTTTATTTAATATAGTAATGTGTTAAGATTAACAATGGTCAAGCAATTTTAAAATCTTGTGGCATCGGTTCTTACAAAACATTCTCTGTCAGACAAGGGAGAAATATGGTTAACTTTGATTTTTTATTTAAGAACTAATACTAATTTAGTTTTTGCCTTCCAGTCTATGGTTGATTTTGAACAGCACCCTGAATATATTTTTAGTTATTAGGAATTACCTTATACATAACTTATTTCCTTAATTTCAATTTTTAAAAAATCCTGTTAATATTTAAGTAGATATTTTGTTTTTAAATTGTATTTTTTTTTTGTTAAACTTCTTATACATTAACAAAACTGTTCCTTTCTTTCTAGTACAATATTAAAAAATCGTTGTGATTTTAAGAAACTGAATGCAAAAGATAAATCTGCTCATGATTCTATTGTGGATAGCTGGTATCCTAATAAAAATTAAATCCAAAATTTAAATTTTGTACTTATTATTCTGTGGCCTTGTTCTTTTAGCTGAATATTTCAAGCTAATTTGTCTTTCTATTCTTCATTATTGATTATGACTCTTTTCACCTTTAAGTTTCAAACTTTCGGAGTTCTTTTTTCTCTTTGTTTTTTTAGTAGTAAATATCTTGCATATAAATCACTACTATCATTCCTTCTATGCTTTAAGCTAAAAAGAAAAAAAGTTTAATGTTATAACTGGTTAACTCAATATGATTTTCATTATCTTGACCAAGTGATTAACTTAAAACAGTGTGATATAGAAAGTTACTGTAACCACAATATGAAAAAATTAGTTAGAAAACTGATAGGTGCCAAAGTCATAGTTAAATAATTAGAAAACGTTAATCATATTATCATTAAAGCTTGCCAATTTTTCAAAATTTCAGTATCTTCTTGCAGTCATATATCTTCAAAACTTAAATTTTATGTGGTACTAGACATGTTATGAGGACATTTAATTTCTTTTCAATTAATTTAAATTTTAACTCTTAAAATGGATAAAATATTACTATATGTCTCAAAAAAGGGTAAAGTAAAACTCAATTGAATTATGAAGAAAATCTTCAAGATAATAGGTTCAAATGGACTTTGGCGAGAGCAGATTCACAAGTTAATCGAGCTATTTGATGATGACGCAGTAACTTCCATTAAAGTATCTTCAGATGAATGTGCGGTAAAAATGCTTGAAGACCAGATCTCCAAATGAATGAATGATTGAGAAAGGGATCCATTGTCAACGAAATAAGAGACTTGATCAAGGTTATGCTGAGCATATGGTGTGACTGACGATAAGCAGTCTATCCTTTGTATCCAGAACTGGAAAGCACGGGTGCAGAATGGAGATAACTGGTAGGATGTGTTGCAAGAGACCCTGGCCTGTGTGTGGAGCATAGTGATATATAATAAGATCTTAAATTTTGAAGAAACTAGGTAAGTTAATGTTTCAGAAGCTCATTTTCAAGTTTTTCCTAGTTAGGGAGCAATAAACTAAATTGGTTTTCTAATGAGTAATTACTTATCTGTCTTAGTTACCAATCTAAGACAGATTTTTTTTTTTTTTAGAACACATCAATAGGTCAATTTGTCAGAATTGAATAAATAATTAACAATTATTTGATGTTATTTCTGACCACCTCATTCTTATTTTTTCAAATGGTAAATTATCTACACATAGAGCAAGTTCCTAAATTGAACTCTGAGCTCATTGACAGAATCAGATGCATCTCCAAACTGAGTGAAACAAATAAACCTTATAGAATATCTGACATAAAAATGGGTGAGAATCTAACCTCCTTGCGTGGGCTAATTCTTTAGTTGAGACAGGAGAAAATTACGATGGATAAAAGACTAAAAGCGGGCATTCATGAAATTGGAGGTTTCATGCATTTTCATTTTATTAATAGAATAGAAAATTTAAAATTATTAAAAAATTAAATCAATCCCACAAGTCCGAAGACAAAATCCATGACTTCAAAATATTTGAGAAATAAAATATGTTTAGCACAGTGCTCCAACTACCCGATTCATCTCTTCAGCTATGATTATTTGAGCCTTTCAGTTGACAGAATGACTCCAATTTCAAAATTTTTGAGTTGTCGTTTTAGTGATATTTCTAGTTGGAAAATTTATATCTGTACAAAAAGTGGATAAGTTGATTCCGGAGTAGGTGATTGCAGTGTTGAAATACAGAACTGTGAATAAAGGTATAAATTTTCCAACTGGAAAAATCTCTAAAGCTAATAATAAAAAATGTTGAAATTGGAGTTGTCATTCCATCAGCTGCTCATCATTTATCTTTAAGAACTTTAAGTAATCAAGACAGGATTTAAATCATAGTCCTTCAGCACAGAAAATCAGGTTATCATATTCCAATTATAACTATTTTTGATCCTTCGAATTTGTGACTTGAAGAGATGGTATAAATAAATAAACAAAACATGTATTGGCAAAATATTTAATATAAAATAAAACAAATCACAATTAAACGGTACATATCAAGGAAACATACAAAAACAAAAATGATAGTAAATTGTCTGTATATAATTCAAAGGAAATGACATGTTACAATACTAACAATTTTCCATCTATGTCTTTAGACATCTATGGAAATCATATATTATAAAATATACACTCTAAATGTTTTAACTAATCTTAAGATAGATGACTCATCTAAAGAAAGTAGGTGTAATTAACAAATTTTTTTATATCTACTTCGGAGAGACAAACCTCTGAATATCTTCAAGCATTCGAATATAGCTTTCATGCTCATAAGATGTGGAGAAATCAATCAATTTTTCGACAAACTCATTGCTGATTCCTTTATCTTCTAAGAGGTTCATGAACAAGTCATAAAGTGTCTGAAAAAAACAAAAACATTTTATGTACTATGTATAAAATCCCATTTTGTAGAATTTGACATCATCCTCAATATTCGAATGACTAATATGAAGTGTTAGCCAAATGGAAAATCTGAGAATTTTAACTAACTCGGAGTTTCGTGGACTACCTAAAGAACTCAGTGATCTGGTTACCGATTATCATTGTGATCAGATAATCGTGTCCATTTTTGCTATATTGAAATGTAAATGCCACAGCGTTAATTTATTTTATTTTTGCAGTTAAAAATGCAACAGCGTTAATTTATTTTATTTTCACAGTTAAAAACGCTACAGCGTTAATTCATTTCATTTTACACTTAACTAGTTTGATTAATTGTTGATTTGTTTTATTTTAGCAAAGTGAAATCAATTAATAAGATGTATATTTATGTATAAGATATGTGTATATTAAGTATTATAGGCCCATAGCGTATATTGTTCATATTATATAGATCAATAGTTTATACTTGGACTACTTGTTATGGATTTTAGCCCTAGCTATAAACAAGTCCTAAGCCTGTAGACCTCGCAATGCACAGTCTGACTCCGGCCGTTATAGAGCTCTGGCCTGCCAACTGATGTACTGCCCACTGCGGTCCACTTGAGGTGAATTCTCTCTCTCGAGCCACCATCGCCGCTGCCCACTTGCAGTTGTTTTGAGCATGCTCATTGAAGAGTTACAATTGGTTTCTGCATAGAGAAAGAGGTTTACGAAAGTCCTGCTTCATCCACATAACGTTGTACAATTTAATAATATGTTATATATATAAATTTCATATTGGGACTCTAGAGAATTTTTTTTTTATTTTATTTTTATTGTAATTTGGGCCATAGAAATAGTTTTGGTTTATTATTTTCAATAATGAAACATTGTGATCGACCAAAAAATTCAAAAACAACCCCCTCTCAAAATTTGAGGTTTCACGTTTCAAGATGCGTATAATTCGAAAAACGAATAAAATTTTTTTTTTCTCCGAAACTACTGGACCGATTTTTTTAAAATTTTTATATAAAATCAGAGGTCACCCGAGGATGATCCTCCTTCATCGACATTACTCTCCGCCTTTAACTTTCAAAATGGCGGCCGAAAAACCTGCGTTGCTATAGACTGTAGCTTCTAAACGAATGTACAATTTCAATGAAACTTCGCTAAAGTCATTTTCTCGACGCCCTTTACATTTATCTATATAACATACTTCAACGAAAAGAAGCTGGAAAAAAAGTTACGAGGGATGGTAAAATTAAATTCCGAATAACTCGAAAAGTTTTTACTTTTTTGTGGATATTGTATTATAGTTTTTAAAAGTTTATGAAATTTCCTTAAAAAAAAAAAAAAAAATCGTTAAAATCAGACAATTAGGAGCAAAGATATGGTCTCCGGTTTTTTTATGTGTTCTACTCCAAATGTGTTATCCTTGGTTTGGTTTTTAAATTTTAAATGTGTTACTGAACTAATGATATTTTTTTTAGCATATTACTAATGATTAAAGAAAAACAGTTTAGTCCAATAATTGGAATCACCTTTTGTTTCTTTGTAACTCGGAAGGTAATGTTACTTTAGATGTATAATTGTTTGGAGATAATAAACCATTGTGAAATCATTTGCAGCATTTTTTTTATGAGCAAGCATGGAAATATTGTCACAATTGTTTGTTCAGCTGGTCTTTATTTTATGCTAGAAGTTTATTATTATTATTTTTTTTTTACCTAACTAACAAGTGTAAAACTGATTCATTTTGTTTTTATGTTTTCAATATTAGATTTCGTAAATGTTCCAAAATAAATGTTTGAAGATACAGTCCACTTTCTTTCTTTTTTTTTCTTTTATTAGATCACAATTAAATAGTTAGGCTTCATTTGAGGTTTCACATAAACTAAGAGGGAGCTAACATGAATCAAGTTTAAAATTGGCATGACCATTATGTTTTATTTTCAGTGATAAACATGTAATCTTTGATTCTGATTGTGCATATATCTGGTTCCACAAATATTCTTCAAGGCAAAATATTTACACTTGCAGGATCTTTCATTTGAATATAAAAAAAAATATTCCTTACTATTTCATTCAATGGATTTCAAATATTTAATTTTTCATGTTCCATCTTAGTTTAGTAGAACACTTTTACATAATTAGTTTTTATATATTTTACCATTTTTTTAAGTAATTAGTTTACATATATTTCACCCTTGCTTAATGCTCAGCCACGTGATGACTTTGCAGTTATCTGTATTCTGTTACCATAGTAAGATGTTTAATCGTTAAGTCTATTTGATGTCAATTTTGTTATCAAGTCTCGATCAAAATATATCACAGAAAAACGTTATTAAAAAACACATAAAATTAATTTTTAAAAAATTAAAAAACTTACTCCATCAAGAACCTCTCCAGAAACTGAATAATTTGAATCTTTCCAGTCTCCTTGGTACATAACAACTTCATCAATAAGAAATAGATCATCTACAAAAAAACAAAAACAGTAGTTTGATTTTCATTATTTTTTTTTAATTAAAAAGTGTTAATAAGTGTTAAAAAGTGTTAATTCTATAATTAAGATTCTTAAGTTTGAAATAAACCCAATTTTTATGGACAAATGAATTTAAAAGAAGTTGAAATAATAATATTACAATTAAATACATATAAATATAAATAAATCAGTAAAAAAATTATAAAATATGTGACAAAATCAGTAGATTAAAGAATATAACCAAATAAAAAAAAAAATTAATGAACAAATAACAAAAATTAAGAACTCTGCTGCTTGATCTCCTATGTTTACTATACAGGAAAGAAGTTTGCAACGACCACAATACCAAATTACTTACTGTAACTTTCTTCTTGCTGGCCTTGCTGGTGAGAAGGTGATACAGTTGAACACGTGAAGCCCAGTGTCTGCCCTGCCCTATTGATTTCAACTTCAAAAGTAGGTCTAGATTTCATCTCGCCAAGTTCAGGTTTGTCCATTGTAGGTTCAATTTCAGGTTCAACTGGGTCGGTATCGACAGAATGATTGACATTGAAGTTTACTTCAATTCTAAAATTAAAATTCGAATCATTTCAATACTAATTTTTAATTTAAAACATCAATAAAATGCTTATACATTTTGAGGATAAGTTACACTTTTCTTTTCTAAAAAAAAACTAATGTTACCCATATTATCAATCTGTTCAGGATATATCAGCATTATTTTAAAAAAAGTTAAAATGGTATTTACCTTCTAAATTAAAAAAAAAAAAAGTATCATAAATACATAACATAAATTACAAAACTGAGTTCATTCCATTAAATGGCGTCTTGCTACATAAATATAACAATAAAAGTGCAATGCAATATCAGCAATTTGAATTAATTGTTGCAGGGGGTATCATAAAAGGATTACCAAAAAGCTCAGTATACAGGTATGCAAGCAGCAAAATGAATTTACAATCTATTTTTATATATAATACGATAGTTTTTCACAGTAACCCTTTACAGCTCTCATGTGCGATGGATTTTGATGAATGAGATATCAAACGAAAGGATACTAAATGTAGCAGTGATGAATCATACTAACATCCACCCAAAATTTTAGGGAAAAGTTAGGAATGAAAAAAAACCTTATTTACGAATAACTTAATAAGTACACATTGTTTTCTTGATTAGACCCATGATTATTAGAAAATTTATTAAATTCCCTACAAAACCAAACAAAAAAAAAAAGTATCATTATTAACAAAGATAGATTTTGTTGTACACATGTTTAGGATTAACATTTTGAATGAACTAATTCAACTGAGAAAAAGAAAATTATTTCTTCTATCTCATAATACATTGAATTAAATTATTTTTATATTATATTGTCAGTTGTTCTATGAGAATTATAATAATTCTATGTGGATTATTTGCACAGGCCAACTAGTAAAATATTAAAACTCGATTAACACATAAAACTTTATTAACAGAATAAATAAATGAAATTCACCAGAAAACAATGAATTCTTGATTAAATATATATATATATATATATATATATATATATATATATATATATATATATATATATATATATATATATATATTTATAATTTAGTTATATTTTTTTACTTTCAATATTTCGTAATTAAAATATTTATTAAAATAAAATAACTTTTTTCTATATTTCTTTAACCTCTTTTTCTTTCCTATTTGGCCATTTTTGGCATACCTATGGTTCTCCTGCAAGTTATCAACCTATTCTAAGCAGAGTGAGAAGGTGAACATTCAACAAGTTCACTATGACATGACATAATAAAAGCCAGATTTGAACTGACATAGTTTCACTTAAAATTATTATGATGGTACGTTAATACAGTGTTCTGGGATACATGGGAGCAGAACCTCTCTCTCCCTTCATCAACAGCAGTTCTTATATGATCTGATAAGACAGTGCATCAGCCAGGATACCATCTATGGGTTTAGAAACTGATAGAATAGCTGCCTTGGAGTCAACTAAAATTACTGGATTTTTTTCATTTCTTTAAGTTGCAATTGGATTAGTGCCAATTTTGCAGATATTTTTGGAGGAAATACGAGAAAAAGGCTTTATACGGAAATTTGTTTTCTTTCACAGAAAATACCCTCTACTTCATCAATGAATGTTGTTATTTGGGATTTTAATCTTGCCATAGCAATCGAATTGGTTGTCCAGTAGTCTATAGGGAATTGTTTATAGGGAACACATATTTGGTTTTTCTTTTGATTCCCTTGTTTTGGATAAGTTAACAAGTAAATCAAAGGAAAAATTTAATATCCCTATTATCCTAAATACACAGCACAGCGAGTTGGATAATTTTGGTATACATGTTAGCAGAGGAAAAGAAAAAGCAGAAATTCCAGAAAACAATCAAATAAGAATATAGAATAATTGAGAATAACCAAAATAATATACCTATATGTGAATAATTGATTTCTGAAGTGTCAAATGTTGGGATGCATCATAAAGTTATGAGGAAGATAAAATTGTACTTAGTCATATCAATTCAATTTTTTTCACGGTGTGTTAATTAATAATTTATTACAAATCCATACAATAACAAACCTTATATAAATTCAATTTATATGAACAGGATATTATACTCACGTTTCATCACCATTTTTCTTTACAAGGCTGATTTCAGATCCTTCAATTACAATTTTAAACCCATCAATTTCAGAAGGTAATTTCTTACTTTTTTGTAACTTTCTTTCAGCTGATATTTCCTCCACAAGAAAATCAGCAAGTTCTTTCTCTCCTAAGAAAATTAATAATTTTTTTATTGACAGAATAGTCTTCACCACAACCACAATAGCAATGATTCGTTTAAAAAATGCATGTCAAATTTTCCTATTGGTTAATAAATTCTACCCTAACCTATTGGTAAAGAATCCAATAGTAAATAATTGCAATATTTTAGTTTTGAAATAATAGAAAGAAATCTCTAAGAGAAGTACAAATTTTAAAGTTGTTAATAAAGAATGATAAAGCATGCTGAAGAACTGTATACATATGCAAAATACACATCATATTGAAGCAAAGAAGATATAATATTTATTGATTATGCAAGAGACTTATATGTACTTAAGATATTGCACTAAAACATTACCACTTAAGACATGAATAATTTTTGTTTTATATTCATCTAAGCTTAACCATATCACCAGTTTTCTCTAAAAAGGCATCCAACAAATCACTAATCTTTAAAGGAGTATAAGTGGCAGGATATTTAAGAAATTGATGTTTTCACTAACGTTATATCGCAAGATCTAAAAGGTGAATCTCTAAATATAAAAGTTACAGTTAAGGTATTTAAACAAATCAGGGCTATTCATGTCAAGAATATAAAATCTGAAATATTTGATATATTAAATCCATCCATTTTTACAGAATAGTAACTATAGAGAAAAAGAAAATAACTTTATTCTGGGACAGTGTCTCTAAAAGAATATCAACTGTGTATAATGAAAAAATATATTACCTTTGACCAAAGAGCTATATTACATCAAAAATATAAAATTTAAATAAAAACATCATTATAAAAAAATATACAAAAAATGAAGCACGGTAAAAAAAGTAAATATTTATTACATTGCAGAAGAATTATTAAATTCTTTTAGAAGTAATTATAATTTCAGGTTAATTGTAACTTAAATGACACCACAACCTATGTATTAAGATTAAATTAAAAACACAATTTTAGCATGCAAGACAAACATTTTGGAATTTCAACCATGAAATTAGCACACAAATTATTAAACTAAGCATCAGGCAATCAGTTAATATACAGTCAAAAAGCCATTGAACCTTATTCCATTTGTTTGGTAATGTAACTGAAAGGTTGTAATTAGGAGGATAATAATAAAGAAAAAATCAATGAATTCAGAGGTTTGATGCTGATCAGGCTACTTTATCTCAGATTTAAATTTTTATTCTCTGGCAAATATAAAAGAAATAGACAGGATAAAGACAAATAATTGAACCTTAAAGAATAAACCAATTTAGCACCTAATATACCCGTTAGCGTATTCACAGCTAGTGTTAAGACAAATTGTAAGTTGATAAAAAAATCATCAGTAAAATAGTTGCAACCAAAAGATCTTTCACTCCATTAAATTCTTAAAGAATGTAACAGCCAACAAATTCTTAAAGAATGTAACAGCCAACAAATTCTTAAAGAATGTAACAGCCAACGAATTCTTAAAGAATGTAACAACCCAACAAATTCTTAAAGAATGTAACATCCAACAATTTCTTAAAGAACGTAACAGCCAACAAATTCTTCTACTCCAATTAATAAATAAAAAATGTAACATAACAGCTTCACCATTAGAAAAGAGTTCAAATAACTTGGAGGGCCTAAACTATAACTGCCTAAAAATGAACACAACAGAATGATGCCAGAAAAACTTAACTGTTGAATTTAAAAAAAAAAAAGGTGATCTACAGATCTAATATGGAATGTTAAAGAGAGACAGAAAATTGATCAATGAGAATTGGGAATTATAACTTAAACCTACACATCGTCAACTAATAACAGGCAGGCAACAGCTATAACAAATTAAAGGTGCCAGTGATTGAACAAAGCTAGAAATGTGAAGTATGGTCACTTAACTTTCCTATGTAAAATTTGGGAAAAATATTACTATTTATGATATATAAATATGGCTATTTATATAATGACCAATTAAGAAACAAATAACTGCTAGAACTCGATTTAGGAAAACATATCACCATAAATGTCGGAATATAGCATGATCCAATAAAAACTCAAGAAATTATGCCAGGTCATCTCTCTAGGAAATGTTTTTAGAAGCTCACAATTATCTAGGAACTCTTTCGAAGAGCACTAATTCAAAGTATTTGTCTAGCTTATCACCCTAGCTTAACATAGCCAGTATCACTTAATTAAAAATAGGAAGATGTGGGAAACATTTGTAAATTAAGGCATGTAAGTGAAGATGAGTATATTACAAATTTAATGTAATCTAACAATAAAATATTTTTTTAAGAAAGAGATCAGTTCATAAATAACTGGAATAATAAAATTCGAAAAATGTAGTCATTTTATATGTTTATAATTATTTATGAACTCATGAAACTAAAGAAAGGCTAAAACTCCCAGGTTTCAGGCTTGCAACTCACCTCATTCAATCAAAATACTGTGTACTCAAGCACTATTTAATTATTAAAATTAGGAATACCATTCGTATGGCATTAAATATGAATATATATCTCGTGTACTATGAGATCATGTGCTGCCCATGAATTAAATTAAATACTGCGGTTTAAAATTACCTTATTCAAAGTTATTGGGCTGCATAATAAGAAAAAGTACTTAGTCATTTTAATGTCAATTGGAAACATAAAAAATGTTCATCTCAATATCAATATAATATAATCTAAACGTTAGTTAATAATCAGAAATACAGGGCAGTTTCGATTATCCAAGCCCTCCCTCCCTCCCCCAGATAATCCGAACAAGTAAAAAAAGTTAAAGTTGACTGATAAGAAGGAATTGAAATGGCTCTGTTTCACAGAACATATTAATGGAATTGCTTCATGTGCTAGTATTTAAATCCTATTTCGGTGTCTAAACTGAAAAAATTAAAACTAGGTGGTCATCCATAAATTGAGGAATCTCTTTTTATGTGGTTTTTGCAGCATAGATCAAGAGGGTGTGTGATTTCCAGAGATATATTAGCTGAAAAGCCAAATTTTCTTTAAAATAATTTTAAAGGATGACGACGCAGATATTAATGCCAGTAAAGGTTGGCTTGATAATTTCGTAAGTAGGTATGGAATACATTAACATATAATTTTGATTTCACTTGAACATTTGATATACCTGAATTCATTTTAGAATATGGATAAGTCATAGAAACGCTATGAAGGCATTTAATACTTGCTTGGAATGTCGGCTATGGAAGCCAACAAAATCAGAGACTTAATGTACATTAAATGATCATTTACATAAATTTTTTTTTTGATAGCCAAGTTTTCATATTTAGCTGACAAAGCATGTATTTTTGTTGCCTAGGATTTTTCCATCACTTTAAATTTAACCTTTGATAATCCCAACAGGCTAAGAAATCTACGTGTTCGAATTAACATGACCGTCCTGTAATTCGGTAATTGTGGGTCACGAAAGTCATCGGCTGAAGAAAACAAAACAGGCTGGGAAACATTTCAGTGGAAACATTACCTACCCTGTAATAAAAAAGATGCATTCTACGTGTGATCATGTGTCAGTCTATCATGTTACAGTGAAACTGGTTTAATAGTACCGGTCAAAGTATTGACCAAATATTAAACATTATTGGAACCAAGTTACCAAAAAAAGAAAGTTGACATAATTACTAAAAGTAATAACAAAAACTGCAAAAATAAATTTGCTCATCCCCCCACTTCAAGAATGTCCTGGCAGCACTTGGTGGTTATAACCTACCTCTTGAGATTCTTCTAGAACATTTTTTAGGAATACCAATGAAAATTAATCATGGTTTAAATTAGATGTGGCATTTTTAAGTTGGGAAACAATTATCATAATCATTTCCTGACATCATACTAATATCTCAAAGAATTAGGAAAAGGTGATAACCTATCAACTCCTAACAACTACCAAGTAGCCTTTTGAAATGATAGGAGTGTAACAACATTTAAAGGACTAAACTAATTAATTCAAATCAATTCTTTAGTAAATCAATCCATACCTTGAGTAAAATCAGTGGCTGCTACTCCAGGGGCAGTTTCTGTAGCAGTTTTAGACAGGAAATTACCACCTTTCAGAATGAACAGGGTTAGTAATCAACAATAACAATTATAAGCTATGATAATGATATAAATTAATGACAAACTGATCATTTAATTGCTGAAAATTAAGTTAACAAAACATCTCTTTCCCACCTTGCCCACTAAATATTAATTAATGTAATACCTCGAGTGTGTACACTTCTTAAAGAAGAACATTGACAAAAATTGTGTTTGCGGCACTTATGATGAAAAGTTTCCTGAGATTGCGACAAGTTCCAGATACTCCTGGTAGCTTGGATTTTGGTGACATTAACAGTGGAATTTGTACCGAAAAGTTTTCCAGCCGATTTAAGAGCAGGAATTCTTAAAGCATTCTTAATTATTACACTCATTTTGAAACTTATTATCAAAAAGTACCGGTACAAGGAGTCACAACGTGCTATCAAACATTCAATGCCCTCGGAACAATATTACCAACATTACGAAATTCGTCGACAAGAAAAATAAATTTACAGTTTATTTTTTAAATGTGATGAGGTTTATGTTAAACTACTTTTAAATTTATCGAAAATGCTTCATGATTAAAATACGTCTTGAAAAAAGTGTATGTAAAACGATCTTAACATGTGTATATTTCAATATTTCAACTTTTGAAACTTGACATTGTCTCTTTATGGTTATTTAAATTTAATGTTATTTATACTTTTCATTTTCAACGTATCAGAACTACTACAAATAATGTGTCTTGAATGACTTTAAAATTGTCGTGCATTATTATCAATGCCATTATCGGACTGTTATCAATTCATAATAAATACTACATACTTTTAGTTTGATTTGAAAAAAAATGACATCTAATAATTGTAATTTAACATTAGAGGTTTCCAAACAGTATTGATTGCTTTAATTTCTTATTGCATAATTTTATATCGTGAGCTTTATTTTTTAATGCTTTAATTATGGACAATTATCACAAAATTAGGAAGGAAGGTATATTTTTTGATAGATTACAAAATTTACCATTAATAATATTTTAAAACTTGCTTAGGGAAATCATTTTAGAAGTCTCCTATACTGAATATAATATTTTTTACTGTAGAGGTTGTGAAGATAATGTATATGATTTTATTTGTTGTAGAGTATGAAATGCTTCAAGCTATGTATGATTTTAATGCAACTATAGCTCAAACATTAAGTTTTAAGAGAGATGAATATTTTATATTTCATTCAAACAACAATATAAAAAAGAATTGGTGGTATGTAATTAACTCCAATGGGAAAGTAGGGTACATTCCTTCCAACTACGTTACAACAACATTGGTAAGTTTAATTAAAACCTAATTTTGAATATTATTGAACATTGAACATCTTATTTACACTATTATTTAGGTTAGTAAAGGAAAATGTATTGAATTTTTGAGCAATGCCATTGAAAATCTTAGTTGTGATATTTCTAAAGAAGGTGGAACTGACAAGCAATTAGAAACTATGAAAGAACTTATATCAAAGAAACAAGAAATTATAGATAGAAGACATAAATCTCCTGTTTCTGTGAAAGAAAAATTAACATCATCAAAATCACTGCCCAATTCACAAACAAATCAATCGGTATGAAAGCAATTTTGTTATTATGTAAGTTTGTTATCTGTTCATGATGATATTAACATATTTAATTGATTCTTATTATTGTCAGGAAATAAAAGTTTCAAATAATGTACCCGAGCAGTCTCCTCTTGCAATGAGGATATCGCAGTCAGAGACCAAAATAACACCTTTAAGTAATGAAAGAAACGTTCCTGACTCTAGTGTTTCGATTCAAGGTTGTAATGTGACTATCAATTCTGTTTATTCATTAATACAGATGGTAAGATTTAAATATTATGCTACAACTGGAATTTTTAGATAGTTTTTTTAGATCAAATTAAAATCTGATTGCAGGTTAGATGTCAGACAGGATTGAGTCATGAAGATTCTCGTATTGCTGTTGGAGTTGTCGCTGAAGGTTTACTGGATGTTCTTCCATCAGTAGCCTCTTCAGGATTAGAGAAGGTTCTGGACCAGTTACGATCTCCTCTAGATCCTCCTTCAAGCCTTATCGATAAAACGCAAGATGCTATATTAATGAGAAAAGCTTTAAAACACCTAACAGCTGCACGGGATGATGCCCAGCAACGTTCATGGGCACTTTGGGATGACGAAGCTGCAATCAGGCAATCTATTTTAGATCTTTCTTCTATATTAGTAAGTAACTTTTGGTTTGATATTGATTTTTATTCAGCTTTATTGTATTCAATATATTTTTATATTTTTTACAGACAAATGCTGATCCAATAATTTGTAAAAGAGTACTTAAGACAAATGAATTTTCGGATATCATTATGTTAGTTGATTATTATCAAATGGAAGAACGAGCCAGTATCCGACAACTTCTTATTCAAGCATTTGCTGTAATGTGTTGCTTAGACTTGGTCATTATAAGCTTACTATTAAATTCTGTGCTTCCAATGGAATTGGCCAGGTATGTATTCTCAAACCTTTTATGCAGTATATATTAATGAATATTTAATATGATTTTTACACTTGATAACTGTAATAATAGGGAAATGCAGAGCAATGTAAATACCAGCCTTAAATTACACAAACCTGCAATGCTGTTGGCTATGATACTTTCTTCAGGTGAAGCAATGCCCATTACTCATTTGGGTATGTAAAATTTACTGTTCTACAAAGCATTGACCTTCATTCCCAAAATCTAAATTTTGTATACTACATTATTCATTAATATTTGTTTTTATTAGATCAGTTAGGAATAGATTTCATTAAAATGATATTGGAAGTTATTGAATTGGAAGCTAATTCAGAAATTGGAGATACCATGTTAACCTTAATCTTATCTTATAATCTGCAATTCAAACCTAAATCTCCTGCAAATATAACAATTCAAGCAGTTTCAGAAGTTCATGCAACTAAAAATTTTACTGAAAAGGTGCTTCTGCTTATAAACCGAGAGAGTAAGTTAATTATTCTTATATTTAAAAAATAATAATTACATATATTACCCATTCCACTTTTTTTTAATTTCTGTATTTTTGGATTTGCCTTGAAACTACAATTATAGTGTGTGCGAATAATTTTCCACCATTTGTTATCTAGAGAATTTTTGTTTACTTACGTGCATCTTGCAAATCTGAAACCAACTTTATTCAAGAGCTAATCACTTGTACTTGGGTTATTAGTCTAGTTAAAATCCTCAAAGTTCATACAACGTTATTTTTATTTCTTCAAACATGGCAAATTTCATACCCTTGTGGTCAATTAAAGCAAAACTATCCTTGGCAGCAAGTAGAAGATTCTGCAGCGACATCAAAATAAGGAATTTTAGGTTTGAAAATGTACCCATATTTATGTATCACTGTTCAGCCCTGAATAATGAAAATCAGCAAAGAAATTAGCAACAGAAAAATGGCTTATAATAGAGCCTACTATGCAAATCTTTAACTTCTCAAGTCTCATTTGTTGTCAAAAGCTACAAAATTAAAGCTATATAGACCAGTAGTCACTTAAGGAGTGGAAATCTGGTGTTTATAGCAAGAGGATTGCCATTAACTTATAGCATTTGAAAGGAAAATGATAAAAAGGATTTACAATGCTACAATAGTTAATGGTGAGTGAAAAATTAAGAGCAACAATAAAATCGAATCTATATTAGAGAATAATAACATTATTAACTATATCAAGGCAAGTAGGCTGAGATGGGCAGGTGTGGTCAGAATGGAGAATGAACGGGTACAGAAGATGATACTAGAAGCGTATTTCTGTGGGAAGAAGAAAGGTGAAAGACCGGGAAGCAGGTGGAAGGATTAAGTAGAGAAAGACACGTGGAAGCTAGGAGTCCACAATTACAAGAGAGAAGTGGAGAAGAGCAACTCAGGAGGACAATGGTCATACTGGCCTGTAGCGCTGGGGAGTTAGACCAGTGAAATTAAAAAAAATACATATATATTAAACATTAAATTTGTAATTATTTTCTTCATACAGATTATTATTCTAGAAATCTGTTTGCTATATTGTTTTTATTTATTTTAGTTGATCCAGTTCTTAACTTAAAAACGCCTGTATCGCCCTGTAACTCTGTACTCAAACTTTTGATGGATTTATTTCAAAATCCATGTACCGCTGAACTGTTCTACACAAATGATGTCCGTGTACTTATTGACATAATAGTGAGGCAGCTTACTGATCTTCCACCCAAGGACCAGGTTTGATTAATTAATTTAGTTATGACACCTATCCATTTTTTTTTTAAATGTGTTGTTTTATGTTAATATTTTTTTTTTAGAAACGTACAAACTATTTAGAGCTGTGTAAGCTGGTTCTTACAAGTTGTGACCCATTAGCCTTCGAACATCGTTTAGATGAATTAAAGTCTCGTTTTAGTTATATCCTTACTGAAGAAATACCCCAAGTTGATGAAGATAAAAATGTTGTTCGTGAAATAGCTGCAAGTTTGCCAAAGTTTTTTGGTGAGTCATTAAATTAAACTAATTAATATTTATTTCAAGAATTTTTCTTCTTTTGAATATTTATTGAACTACTTAAAAAAGTATTGAGTTCCTTATTTTATGTTAAAAGTTTTTTTTATTATCAATTTCAATTAAATAATATTTTATATTTAAAAACATAAGTAGTAGATTTTTACTTTTATCATTTTAAACAAAAAAAAAAAAGAAAAGAAAGAAAATCTTTATGCTGTTTATATTGTTAAATATTTTATTTTTAAACTGATTAATAGGTATTGTTGAACAATTTTATAAGCTTCTGACTATCCTTGAATTCTTGTACTTAATATTTGTTAATTGATTCCAATCAATTTATTTATATCTTGAACTCAATTATAGTAGGTTTTCTTTTACCCAACACTCTTTTCTTTTATGTTATGATTGTGCAATGTCTTACATGATCAAAACATCTAATGCTAAATTGAAAACATTTTAAAATAATGAAGTTTTAAGCAATCCTTGCTATTAAATGTACCTTTGTTGGCTCGAATAATAGTTGGATTACAGAATATACTAGAGCTTTTGACAGTATTTTTCTTAATAATATTCTTTGCTACTTAAATAGATAAATTGCTCTGATTTAACCCTGAAGTTTTCACATTCCTAATACTCAAATTGATAAATAGTTGGTGGGTCTGACACTCATATTTTTTGTTTGTGGTATCCTATAATTAATTTATTTACTTAGTCATTAATTATGTGATTATTTTAATGCCAGAAAGGGTTTAAAAATAAAAATATTATTAAGATAATTAAAGAAACAAGTTGGAAAACTTGCCGAAACCTTTTTTTTTTTAATAAATAAAAAAAATATCACAAACTGACAGTAGACAGTTGTAAGAGCAAACGCACAGTTTTATCACACCAAAAAAATTATCAAAAAATATAAAGGCTTTAAAACAGTTTTGAAAAACACTTTTCAAATGATTATGAACTATAAACATCAACCGCCTCCCGCAGTGCCACATCCAACGCCCTGAAGACGACCTGTAAAGTGGGTCGAAACGTCGGCAAAAATTAAAATTATTTATATATTTTAATTTTTTTTATTTTTTTGACCGCACCCTCGACTAATCCCTTCTCATATAAACATTTTTGTACTTTTCATAACAGTTCAAAATCGCTTTCAATCACCAGTTCAGAAAAATCATTTGCTCGTACAATAAGCTGAAAGGTCGTCTGGGTGGCAGTTGTCAACCAAATTAGTTTGAGGTGAATACTTTCCATAGTTGAAATCCAAAGTAAAATATAAGTGCCATATGATATTATCAGTAATTAAGCATTTATATTTTTTTTTGTTTTGACCAGCATTTGATATTTTAGATAATACTTATTATTTGTAAGTCGGCATTGAAACATTCCTATATGGCAATAAAATATTAAATACAATTGATTTAAGGATAGTTATTGTGTGAGCCATTGAATGCAAAAGTATTATAATTTATTCTCATAGTAAATATTAACTTTATGCTATTAAATAGTTGGGATATGCTTGAGACTATATTTTTAACAGAAATAATTATTCTTAGAAAGAAATGCACATTATTATTCCATTCCTATCTCTATAGAATATTCTCTTAAGTATTGAAGGTCTAAAAGCTTCAGTTTCTAACTTATGCCATTTTTGCATTCAATGGTTCATATGATGTGGTTAATTTATTTTTTGTATAGTATTTTTATTTTTGTAAAGATATAATATTATTAATTAAAATAGTGCACACTATGTTCATTAATTTATTTATATACATATATATTTTTAATTCAAAGTTTTAATCTCTCTACAAAATGCTCAAGCCAAAAAAAAAAAAAGTTAAAAACTAAGTGGTCTGAAATATGGAAGTGGATAAGTTAGTAATTTGATTATCCCAGAATATATTTTTATATTCGACAATTGGGACAATACATGTTTTACATCCTGTAATATGAAACAATAAGGTAATGAAAAAATAATTAAATTTTTGAAAATCAAAATGAGCCTTATAGTTTTGTATTTTAAAATGAGATAAGCGCACAAATACGCAAAGTATTAATTTAAATTTATAATTGTTAAATTATGATAAATTTGTATATTTTGCTATATGGCTTTCTTCATAATGTAGCTAATTAATAATCTGAATTTATTTTATTTTAATTAAAAAAAAAAAATTATTTCTGTTTGCTTCGATGAATAATATGTATCATACTTATTAATTCTATCTGGTTATATCTTCAGAAATGTCAGTTTTTCAATACAGTATTAAAAATACTTAAAGGGATGTAATCTTATTTTTTATTTGCTTTATTTTTTATTTTATTAGAACATGCTATGTTTCTTGACTTCAAAAAAAATCTTTAACAAACAAATTTTGTTTCTAAGTGTTGTAAACAAGAATTGGCTCATGCTTTCCTAACCATCCCTAAATTAAAGTTTACTAATCACAAATTTATTAAAGTTTACTAATTATTAATTTATTAAAGTTTACTAACTGGTTAGTAGTTATTTCATTCGCTAATTCCACTATGACTCTCAAAACTGACACCTCTTTGGATTCAACAAAGTTTAATCAACTACTTTCTCTCGTCAGAATTTAATTCCTCTATTTTTATAAGTTTGTAAAATATAAATATTGCAAGTTTCTTGATTTGTCATTTTCTTAAATCTTTTCTTCAAAAGCACAGGGTAGCTTCAGGGTATATATTGCTGGGAAAACATTTGCAGGACTTTGTCTATTCTAGTGGTTAAAGTATTTTGGCTTGAATCATTTTTGTATTATTAACATTACTATTTATTCTTAATGATTATCACACCCCTTATTGCCCAAAACTAGTCTTTCAGGTGCTGAAATTTTTGTATAGTTAAATACAGTAATATTATATATAGTTGAATTGTATATATGTATAATTTTATAATCTAGTCAAAACATTCATTGAATGCAAAATGTTGCAACATTAGGGTCCATTAGTTATGCAACTTTCAGATTATTAATTCATTATATACGATTAGGTTACCAAGTGTTACAAACTCAAACTGTTATAGTTTGTTACCATAACTTTATATGAATAGTTGTTGTTTTTTAGTAGTTTACTTTACTTTAATGATGTGAATATTGTTTAAAATGTACCTAATCATCATTTTAAACTTAAATTATACAGTCAAATCTCATTTTAAAATTGAATGGGTTAAAGAACTATGAATGATTGACACAAAAATAATTAAAAAAATGGTTATTAGAACATTGACGTTAGCTGTATGGATTAGTAAAATACAAAGAACATTTTAGAGATCATAAAGTTCAATAATATTATTCACTAATATCAATGATTCCATTCTCCATGATTAATTAGTTCTTGATTAAATTTAATAATCATATTTCAAGTAATGCTATTTTGAATAAAGTATACAAGAGGCAGAGGAAATAAATATGTAAAACTGTGGTGGAAGGATATTGATGTATTTTTGTATGTATAACAATGTGTGGATATTGATATTCATACTACCTCTATTCAAAAATAATAATTTGTAAAGATTTAGATCTGTTTTAAATCTTGTTTATTGTAACATTATTTTTGTCCATGAATAATGACAGAAAGTCGATGGGTAATTGTCTGAGCCTCCTAAATGCATAGCCTTATTTAAGAAATGGAATTTATGGCATTTTTGGCTAAGTTTGAAAACTATCATTTCTTTCAATGTGAATATATCTCTTCTGTTGTTAATGAGATTGACTTACATTGATTATTAATCTAAAAATAAATATACAATGTAAGAAATAAAGTGTTTAGTTTTAAAAATGTTAAAGATATTTTTTTTTTCTAATATTTAATGCCAGAAATACCATGTTAAGTATGTTCATTTTGTACCTTCTATAGCTTTATATTACAAAAATATTTATTCATTTATCAATAGAGGAGCTTAATTTCAAAAGTTTAATTATTATCCTAATTTTAACAATGTCCTGTCATTATATTTTATTTTATTTACTATAACAAATTTCATCGGTTTATTGCAAAAAAGTTATTTAGTGACATTTCATAACATTGCATAATTAAGAACTTTAAAGAATTTTCTCCTTTGTGAAATCAGAAAACTTGTGCTTCTGTTGTAACTATATTTGATAAATAAAAAGGTTTGTCTTAGTTTCATGCACTTACGGTGTTTTTGTATCGATAAATAAAGGTGTTGTTTTTTTATTGAATATTAATACATTCTGCCACATTGAAGGGCATTAATATTAAGGCTACATTAATCATTCACACAACATGTACATACAAATAATAACTAAGATAGAGTTAATAAAGAGAAAAGAAATATAGAAAAATAAAATAAGTAAATTAATATGCCTGTGTACAAAAAATGAAATAATAGTTAGAAGCTAAATGAAATTAAAGTAAATAAAACACATTCACACCTATATACAATATTCACATTCGTCCAGGGGACTCTTGAGTCATGCTTTGTCCTCCAAATGTGGAAGCTAAGGCAGGACTCCAAGAGATCCCAGTGCTTCTCTCCCAGCTGCTTCACTGGTATTGGAAACCAGTGGAAACTGCTGGAGGGCACTGCAGCAACAGACGCTTAGGACCTCAGTGGAGAATCTGGCCATATCAGAACTCTAATATATAAAGATTTAATATAAAGAAGGTCGCGGGACCATTACCGTTTTAACCTCTGCAGAGGATTTTAGGGATGGCTGGAACTAGATATGGATTGTGCTCTAGGATTTGGATGATGAGTGAGATTCTGGACTGGAGACTGGAAGGATTGAATGTGCTTGATGCTAGAAAGTTTTGATGTCTCCCACAGTTCTATTCCGTAAGTCCAAATAGGTTACAGGATTGTCTTGTAGATTAGTAGTTTGTTGTCGACTGAAAGTTGAAATTTTCTATTCAATAGTCTATACAGATAGCTTTCCATATCATCTGCTAAGTTGTCATCTTTTAAGTATTGTATATGGGTTCCATGTTAGTTTTTTATCTAAGAGAAAGCCAAGATACCGGACTGTGTCGGAGAGAAGAAGTGGTATGAAGTTGAAGTAGACTGATGAACAGATATTGCATCAAAGGGTAAAGGTGATATGTTACCCATAAAACCCCCTCATCAAGTTGAAGTGCATTTTAAATGGAGCTAAAGCTTAAAGCTTACAGATAACATATCATTAAGACCATTGCAATTAAAAAATGTCCATTTAATATATCGACGGTAGGCAATAAAAATTTAGTCACTCCATCTGCTTTTATAAACTACACAACTTTCTTTGCTTTTATAAACCACAGAATAACAAACTCCAATTTCAACATTTTTGAGTAATGTTATTTTACTGATATCTTTAGTTTTACCCACCGGCACAATAACCTAAAGCATCGTATAGCCGAATTCCTAGAAATAAAAAACTATAAATGTTTTTTAAACAGGTCGAAAAACCTCAAAATTTACTGTCTGGATTCAAAAGGGTCAACAAGGTTCATTAACATCTTAGTGTTCAATGCGACGGAAAAGGAGGCACTCATAGTGGATCCCATGATCAGATTCGAAACCAACGATCAAGATCAGAATTTCAAGGTACAGGCAGAGAAAGGGGAAATTTATATGAAATGCATATCTTACTTGAACGAAAAGTACAGAGATGAATTCGGTGAGAGAGAATACTTAGTTAAAGAGCTATGGTTAGAAATCAGAGGAAGCATCTCTCTTGATACAAGTAATTTCTTGCAGAGGCTCAGTGTTGGAAAGTAGCTGATGCAGACTATGACGGTAACAATTATTTTACACTCTTTAGGAATCCTCCATCACCACATATATTGATCTAGGCCTTCACTTATTTGATTCTATAAACCGTTTTTGGCATGTCTGATATGTATTCCAGTGGTCCGACCTAACTCTCTCATATTTTTATACAGTAATTATCTTTTGATTGATTAGCATGCTGTGTCGTTTGGCAACTCAACACAGTTGAGCAGCCGTGCAATGTTGTATTTCTCTCTACTTACTTACTCGAGGCCAGATTGTCAGAATCAAACGATCATGTGAACCATAACGAAATATTAGTGGCTTAAAACCAACAAATAATGAATTCATTAATTCTACAATCACAGTTGTTGGCTCAGTTATTTCAAACAGTTTATAATATATTAAATGAATCCGTAACATTTGAAACATTTCTTGTTTGAAAGGAGACTTTTCAGTTATACAAAGAACTAATACAAAAAAATATTTTGACCTGATATAAGTTACAGTAAATATAGCAATTCAAAAAAATTGAATCAAAAATATTAATTTATGTATTGGTAGCAAAATATTATGATGAACTGATAAACCTGTTAAGTAAACACCTCTGCTAAAAAATCTTGTAAGTGACAAGGACTTATCTGATAAAGAGTTGATAGGAAAAGATTTGAGGGTTTGATTAAGTTTATCCAAATGAAATGTAAAAACGCTGTTTATTTTATGGATGTATGTCTTTTTGAAAATAAGCTCTTCAATTACTAAAAGTGATTTTAACCACTTTTAAAAAAGAAGTCTGTAAATTAAAAAATATTAATTGTATGAACTACTGTGCTGATAGGAGTGTGATGTTTTTATAATTATAGAAATTAGATTAAGGAGTATATTGATTCTTTTAGACTTCTATTGTATCTTCCTTCATATGCTTAATCTTACATATTAATTATTATTAGTGTTTTGTTTTTATTTTTTACAACTCTTTTTTTGTATTATTAACAATTTTTTTATACTTTGACTGTTTTTTAAGTAGTGGAAAGATGCCACTTAAATATATAAGGCTCCAAGTTTTGTTCCGAAATTACTATTTATAAAAATGTATGTGGTGAAATGAATATTCCCTCCATTATTTACCATTTGTTATTATTTAACAATTTGTGTGTCATGAAAACTTTATATTGTTATAGCTATTATTTATTTTAATATACATATCCTGGTGCTTTCCAAATAGATCTTAACATACTTCATATGTCTTCACTTAAAGTAGTGATTAATTGTATCATCACATGTTTAGTGTACTTCACTTTTGTAATGGCTCAAGTCCATTTGTTTTTGTGCCAGTGTATACACATGAAGGGGCATAGGGGCTTAGATATCACTGGTTTTCTGAAAATTTTCTATTTATATGCTTGTATTTTATAGTAATTACTTTCCCATTTTAATCAATAGGATTGTAATTGCTTAACAATAATTTTCATCACAAAACTAATAAAGAAGTAAGTGAAGTAGTCTGCTTCCAGTTTTAAAATAAATGTCTTCCTCTTAATATTCTAATTTGTGAGAAAGAATCCATTTCCTTTTTAATTATATACTTAAGCAAATTAGGATATAATTTTAATTTTTATTGAAGCTCAGACATGTTCCATTGATGTGAGTATTCGGTCCAAAACCTATGTGATAGAATTTTAGTATTAATTAGAATGAATAAAGTTATAATATTTTACCATCTCCTGTTAGAATACACCTTGTGATATTGACAAAAATTATGAATAAGTTATTCATTTGTCAAACTTCAATGTTCATTATCCCATAGTCAATCTTTTGGAAATGGAAGTAGCAAATAGATTTTTCTTAGAATAAGATCTCATTTTGATCTAGAATACTGATCTGTTTAATAGATGTATTTAATCTCCGTTTATCACTTAGCAATTAGATGAAAATGTTATAATTTAAGAAATTCTGTGCCAATTTGATGTTATGAGAAAATTATTTCATTAGATTAATAGATATATCATTGTTGAAGAAAACCCTTTCTTTGTACAGTCTCATTTATTTATATTGCATTTAACCTGGTGCTTTCGGTGCTCTGTCCCATATTCGACGAATACATAACGAAAGCTCTGGGTAACATATGAAATATAATTAATGAGACTGTAGAAAGAAAGGGTTTTCTTCCATATTTCAATATAAAATACATAGCCTACCTATGATATATATATAAAATATACCTTGTGTCTCTTATAATTTTTATTATCAATATATAAGTTCCATTATATTTTTTTTTTAACAATTCAGCTTTTTGAATATTGTTGTATAAAGTAATATAACTTTTAATGATCTTAAATTTTTAATAATTCTTTATTTTTCTATAAGCACAATTTCCTTAATATATAAATAAAATTGTACAACTTAATGTATGTATATTGTACCTTCTCATAACTGCCTTAGCACCACATCATCGAATATGATAGCTTTAGTGCCTGTTAATATTAAAATAAATATTTCTAATTATAAATATAATTCTGTTATGGATTGGGTAGTTTATTGGTGTTTTAAATTGAACTGCACTTCTATTTTGACAATTGCACTGTTCAAGAATAACATGCTGTTGAAGCTTTCAGTAACTTATGATGTTTAAAGTTTGATGGTCCTTTTGACATAATCTTGAATTTGACTTTGAACTTTTCAATTTATATATGTGCCAACTTTTTAGTACCATTGAATCTAAAATTAATCATTGTGAAACTGTTGAAATACATAGAATTATTAAAATATTAAAAATTTAGAAAAGCACACTCTGTTTTAAGATAAATAAAATCATCATTTCTGTGATCGATTTTCTGTTTACTTGTTATATAAAAATAAATAAATTTGATTTTATGGAAATATGCATTATCTAAATTACTTTTTAATTGTAATAAAAAAATGTTTTTGAAACTAATAATAAAAATATATGTACTGTGCGTTGTGACAAATTCATCTTGGAACTAAATAAAGTTATTTTAGTTCCTTTCCAGTTTATTTATTGGACCTTTTTCTCTTGTAATGAAAACTTATTTTGTGTATGTCACTAGTTAAAACAGCTAGCCTATAATAAGTGCCACCCTCCCTCCTCCCTTTTTTTAATTGAATGATAACTTTATTGCAAAAAGTTCTTTTTTTTAAGATACCCTCAAAAATAAATCCGCTTCAGGCTTCAAATATAAGAGATGTCACTGAATGTCGGAACTTGTTGGAACGTAAAAGCTATAAAAAAAATAAATAATAACACAATATACGGCATCGTTTATATTCTCATACTACTATTTCAGTATGATTTTTATAATTTCAATATTATACCATCCCAGTTTATTTTTTATTCATTATTGGGATAGGGTATAAATAACATAAATTGTTTCCAACTAACTAAGACTACTGTAAATTTACCGCTATGGAATTTCCACTCTATTATGAATCAATGTATAATCCTATTCCTTTGTAATACTCTATGGAAAAACCTATCGAGTCAACCACCTGTAGTTTTATTCAGTCTTGGTAATTGTATTGTTTCTTCTTAATTAGAAGGTTATTATAAGCATGGTGTAAAAGCTGTAACTGTTAGGCTGACCGGCCACCGAAAGCGCAGCGGAGCTGAGCTGAGCGTAGTTGAGCTCAGCTCAGTCTGCAGCTTGCCTTGCATCAGAATCCTTCTTATATTCCATATAACATTTATATATATTTGTATATATATATAGCATATATAACATTTTAAGAAATTAGTAAAGTTGATCGTGTCGGAGTTGAAAAGAAAAATAAGTATGAAATAGAATATTTTCCCTTACACATACGATTAAGAATTCTTCCACATCCATTGCATGTTTTACACTGAACCAAAATAAAATAATTTGAAAGACTGTGCAGTAAAACAAGCAGATAACATTTTTTTTAAATATACATATATAGCCTATATAACATTTTTAAAAAATAGGTAAGTTGATTATGTCAGAGTTGAAAAGAAAAATCAAATATTTTTGTGACAGTGGTGAGTAAGTTTGGTGGGGAAAGCTGAGCCTAGCATAGTCAGCTTCCAAAACCGAACCTCGGTCGAACTAAGCTGATCTGAGCTGATCCTTGCCACGCCGCTCAACGGTGCTTAGCTCGTCTGCACTTTCGGTGACTGGTTGTCCTTATGGGTCACTTCAGCTAGTGAAATGTTTTTTGCATAATGAAAACCCAGACAAACCTAAAACGGAAAAATTTGATAGCATAATAAACAAATTCAAAATAATAAATTATTAATCCAGGTTTCTCCTGCTTCACAGAGGGTTGCAGATGTCGATGAAAAGATCTACCAGATCAAGCAACGATTCCTTAAAGATGTGTTTTTTTTTTGTTTTTTTTTGTTTTTATGAAATGCCATTTATTCATTCGTCTATAGGGGAAAAATCAAACTCAAAAATTATACTAGAACAGTTGGACAAGAATATAAATCATGCTGTATATTGTAATTAATATTAATCACTAAATGTCTATAACTTTTATTTTTCAACATTCAGTGCGTGCCGTACCTAGATAATTTGAGGCCCAAGATAGTTTAATTTTTAGGACTATCTAAAAAAAAAAATTTTGAATAAAAATGTCATTCAATAAAAAAAATCTGACCCTCCCCCGGACTCCTGGAGCCAACCCTTGGGACACCAATGTCAACATTTAGGACAAAAAGTTTTCTGCATCTAAGGCTAACTAATTTATTTTTATAATATAAGAATTTTTGGAAATACATAAAAAACCTCTTTTTGATTAAAATGTTATGCACTGTAAACAGGTTGAGAATGTTCTTTTTTCGGAGGAACAAACAGTCAAGTGCGGTTTATGAGCCACAGAAAAACCTTTTATTATTATCTTAATAATAATGAAATGTGTTATAATATGAATGGTTTAAAAGCCTTTATTGTTTGTGTAGTGGACGAAAATTTTAAGATGTCTAAACTGAAAAGAAAAAATTATATATTTCCTTACTTTTATGAAATAAATAAAAGCTATGCTACGGAGATACTCTGAAATGGAGATACTCTACCGATGAAATGTTTGGTCTTAAATACAAGTTAAGTAAAAGTGAAACTTCTTATTTTAATAGCTAATTATTTCTAAAAGTAGAATTAGTAAATTTCAAATGTAATTAAAAGTCCCTAAATACAATATATTCTTTGGATACCTGTTGTTATAAGTAGTTTTTAACTGCTTATATCTATATAACACTAAAATAGAATATCAGAATTTTTTTTTTCCTATATTACTAGAAGGTTAAAATTATACCTTCAATATTACACATTTTTCATCCAGATATTTTTAAGGAATGAATTATCTAATTGTGATACCCCTTTCAATAATTTTAATTTAGGTCTAAAACTAATTATGTGATAGTTTACCTTAAGTCGTGAGTGGAAGGCTACTTTCTAAATCAAACTATTTAATATGGGTTTATTTTGGACAAGGTTGATTTAGAGAGTTAGAGAAAATAAATGTTACAACATATAAGTTATTGGGCTGTTTTTAAGTGTTCCGCTGGGACAGATGCCAAGGTAGTCTATGCTATAGAAGCACACCATTCCCCCAGCGAATAATAACCGATAAATTACTAAAGGAATTTTAATATCAATTATCTCATCCTATAACCAAGAATTTTGATTGTTGCAATGACTTTTATTGTATTTTTTCATGTCTCTTAAAGTAGCGAATGTGGTACTCTTTTTGGAAAATTAATTTTCATATTTTCATATTTACAGCTATTGAGAGAAGTTCCTTAATTTTCTACAATTTCATATTCAAAATTGACAGTTGTTTTTATTTGTGGGATTTAATAGGGAAAAATTCTAAAAAAAGTTTCAATTATAATTCAAAAGTCATAGGTTATTTTAACGTGTAGAATAAAATAAATTAAAAAAAAAAATAGTGTATAGCATAATAATTCTAAATCATTAATAAAATTAGTTTATACTAACACAACTCATAAAATTACTAGTATTGTAAATAATTCTCCTTGATAATTTTTAATTGAATCAATAAAAAAAATGGTAGACCTCTCATATTTATATCCATTGTACTTTTTATTTTATTGAAATTCCATAAACAGTTCAAAAGGCATCATTGTTCAGATTACATTGTCAACTTTTTTTAATTTTCTTCTTCAATTATCAAAGGTAAGCAAAGTAACGTAGTCAGTAAAAAAAATAAATAGAAAATTATATCTTATCTTTTATTGTTTAATGGAACGAAAATAGCTCTATAATAAATCATAAGGATAGTAAAAATAAAATTCATTTAATAATGCTTGCTCATTTTATTCTGACTTAGTATTATGTTATAGGAAAAAGTTTAATTTTTCAATTTTCATTGCATTGTTTTTGTTTGTTTAGAATTTGTTGGTAGTTTTGTTAATTTAAATAATTGTTTATAGCAGATGGTACCTAAAATAAGCCAATATTTTAAATGTGAGAATGATGGGTATTACAAGAACAATTGAGGATGTTAATTTTTTTTAACTTTATTGTAAAGTCAATAGTTTTTCTTCAACTTCATGAATTGTTCTCAATAAAGATCTGAAACTTAAATAATATTATTATAGAAGTTTGCCCTAAAATTCACCTTTGAATGCTCTGCTAATTATGTATTTCAACCAGTGATACACGTAAATATTTTTCATTTAGTTCAACATTTCCAATAATTTTAATTTCCTAATAATTGTATAATGATGTATATCAACTATATAAAGTTTGATTTTCTATGCAATAAAAATAATTCAATAAATGAACAACGATCTTTCCATATTGAAAGGAGTATTGATGTTTTTATATTTAAACCAAATGTGAATTCTCAATAATATTAACTTTCTATACTAGACTGCTGATTATTTATTCAAGTTTCTTCTCAGTTAATTTCGGAAAACTCAAACTTACTCATCAGGAGTCTTGGGTATAAAATCTGCATTTGGATGATTTATAGTCAAATATATTAAATACTAAACTGGAGGTATTGTTTTTTTATTTAAAACAATTGAGCATATCACCTAGTTAATTTTTTGCTATTTCAAATTTTAGGGTTTTTTAAAATTCTGGGCTTCAAGATCAAAATTTTCAAAAAAAATTTTTTGTTAACTTATTCTAATTATTTTATGTCTCTACCTTCCATAGGATACAAACCTTTAAATTATTTAATGTTCACACTCTTGTTATAGTAATAAAGGAATAAAAGTAAGATGTTAATTTTAAAAGGCCATGAGGTATTGTTAGGAAAAGAAAGATCATAAAATAAAAGCCCAGCTTATTAAAATAGATAAAAAATAAATCTAGTAACACATAGATCGATTGATTATCACCTTCAAAACTATTAGTTAAAATTAAATAAAAATAATACATAATAAATAACAGTTTATTTAATTCTCATATAATTTATGTTTCCATTTTGTTATAAAAATATTGTAAAATGCAAAATCACAAATTCTCGTACATAAATACAAAACTTATTATAAATACTTTTCAATCCCTTTATAGATGTTAGAAAACAAAAAGTATTATAGAAGGTTTTTGTTTCTAATGATTGCTAAAAATAAATATATAATAAATGTGTGATGAAGTTTTTTATAATAAGAGTCTTGTGCCATGGAAATGAATGGTTGCGCTACCCTTCAATGATGAATGTTAAAATGTAAATGAAATATGAAATGAATGAGCACCAGTGAATGTGTTTATTCTCCAGTCATCATTTCCATGAACTCTGAAAATAAATAAATAAATATTAATATACCTTTGTATCACTAGGTAAAAATTAAAAATACATACAATGTTGATTATATTAAAGTAAATATAATGGTAGTCCATAAAATAACTAAATTTAATATTTATATGGTATGATAAAAATATTTATTACATTAAAATTAAGTTTATCTATGAACTAATTGCAATGTCTTCCTTTGAATAACTCGAGAAATGAATCAATTAACTGCTAGTTTTTAAACTATTTAATTATATAACAGTCTATATATCTTTCAAAGTGTTGGCATTGCTTTTCATTTCCATTTAAAAAAAATAATAAATTATAAATAATATATTTGCTTATACATACTGCATTTTAAAGAAGTTAAATTTACTCCTAAATATATGACTTTGTGAATAAATTATTTTAATTATTAAATTGTGTGGTAGAATCTCAACTCTGAATAAATTATGTCAAATAAACGTTGGTATATACTGGCTCGAGTGATCAAAACAGAGCAGAAATAGAAAAGTAATATACTTCAGCTTGGGAAATTTCCAAGACCATCATAAGATGTTTTCTAATTTTTCATATTTCTTCTAATCAACAATGTATGTTTATAAGAGCATTTATAAGTTCTTCTAAAGCTATAAAGTTTTAAATAAAGAAATAAAAACGATATATATATTTATTTATTGTTCGAGTTTTAAAAAATTATATTGGTCCATATATATACTTTAAAAATCATAAATATCCGTTACCAATTTAATTAATTTTGATTACTTAATAAAGTTAATCGATAGGTAAAAACTTATCAGTAATTTCAAATATTGTCTAGATATTTGAAATTTAAACACTCTTTAATATCTATAATTTATTTTGAAGTGAACCAATAATACTTTAAAAGGCATCTCATATATTGAAATAAATGTATATTTCCTTACCAATTAAATTATTTTAATTAATTACCCTTTAGTTTATCCCTCTTAATAAGAATAACTTATAAAAAGATTAAAATTTATCTAAATTCTAGCATATTTGAAACCCTTTGAGTGAACTAAACTTTTCCACATTTATTTTTTTTTTTTTCTTTTCTCAATTCCAATTTATAAATGTCAATAAAAACATATTATTTTGTAAACATAAAATTTTAAATACATTTTACCTAAATGGTTTCATTCTAAAATACATGCTGGAAAAAAGCTAAGTTTATTTACCATTTTTAAATTATAAGGTTTTTGTATAAAAAGTGTTTTTCAAATGGCAGACATTTTTTAAAATTTGTACTTTTCATGTTTGAAAAAAAATTACTTGTACCCTCAGCCATGTTGAAAAATATTACCTTACAGGAGTTGACTGAAAGTCTTAGATAAAATAACTTACTATTAATGAATCTTATTTCATGATATGCAGAGATTTTGGCCAAGGTTTTATGCCTTTATGATACTTGCATCAGGATTCTGATGCACCTTATATATATATATATATTGTATTATTTCATCCATGATTGCATCACTTCACTCTTCCTTCCAACCAACTCCTGAAATTCTACAGTCGACAGTGTCTCCTTATATTTACTATCTAATGCTGCATATTTTACTGTATTTTTTAATGATAAAATGCTTTTAGCCTTTAAATATTTCTTGCTGTTAACTTGCATCATTTCGAGTTTAATATATTCCCCTTTCATTGAGCCAAAAAAAATTTTCATATGGTGATGATGCCAAATATTCTATATTTACTCATTGAATAAAAAAGCTCTAATGGGCTAATTAACAGGGTCAGGGAATAGATTTGATGGAACAGTTTAATGAGAGTTGCATACCTTCTAACAACTATCATTAAGGAAAAAAAACAATTAGCATTCCAATTATTAGGTACCAATAAGAATTCACACATATTTATTTTATAACTCAAAATAATATTACTAATTTTAATTTAAGATTAAATTTACCAGAACAAAATTTTTAGGTTTGACCTACCGTCAAAATCAACTGTGCCTGATCCATCAGAATCAATTTCTTCAATGATCATATCGAGCTCTTCATTTGTCAACTGTTCATCCAGCTCATGAAGAATTTCTTTGAGGCAAGATGTAGGTATGTAACCATTTCCTATGAATCAGTTATATTCAATGTTAAAATACTCTTAAATGCCAGTTAATATACAACAACAGATATTGATAAGACCTTATAACTTTAAAAAAATAAATTTCTTCTATGTCAAAGACATTAAATTGAAAGAAGTTTTGATAAATATTGTTATTTCATAAAATTTTAAAGGAGGTATTATTCTAATTGAAGTCAAACATTTGAATAAACAAGTATAATAATTCAATATTTTTATCTTCTATTTAATGACACAACGATGCTGATCTGATATAGTGCCAAATTATGGTCAGGTTCATAACAGTTGGCCAGTTTTCTAAGGCTCTCCATCTTTATATTTCTGTATTGTGTAAGATCGTGTTTCAAGGATTCATATATAATTATTTATATGTATATAATTATATATCATTTTATATAAAAGGATTCATATATAAAATGAACTACATTGAAATTTGATCCATTTCTCATATGTTCTTTTACATTTAAAAACTTTTATAATAATTTTAATACTATATAAGTAATTTTATCAAGGTCATATCTCATCCTTTTACAAATAATGTTTATAATATTATTTATTTTTTGTTATAGCATTAAAAAGTTGCATACATTGTATAATTTTTGGGACCTCCAGGAGAGTGAGGAAAAAGTTATAATTTGTCAAGAGATCATTTTTTTTTTTTTTCACTTTATCTCAATTGATTGATTGTTAAAATTGATCAAATTAGTAAAACATATTAGCTTGGAATCTAAAAATGCCTAATTGTATATTCAACAAGAGAAAAGATTGAATCACGAATCAAAATATTTAATAAAAATAAGATATTTTACTTACAAAACTTATCGATATATAAATCTCAATAATTTTTAATGCCAAGAAGAGCCTTCTTGTATCTTATTTATTGGGCTAAATAAAAAAATAGATTAAGAATAACAGATCATAAAAAAAAAAAAATACTTAAATGTCTGGGCACATTCATTTTATATTATTCATTAAACAGTACTTTTTTTTTTTTATTTTTAGTAGATAAAGGAGGTTGTTTAAATGGCTTGCTGTTTGATTTATTCTGCTCTGGACATAGCCAATGAAGGTGAACAGATAACATTGTGATAATAGGGGCATGACTTTTATTTTCTCACAGAAAAAAAAAAAAATTAAAAGTAGATAAATAAAATTTAAAGAATTTTTCAGACAAGCTGAGCATGAACTTCATTCTAATAAACTAGCTCAGCTAGTTTATAGCTAGGTAGCTAAGAATAATCATTATGAATAAGAGAATTTTTCCAAGCAACGTGTAGTTTGGTTTAAATTGACAGGTTTACAAATTAAATAATTAATTTACCAATTTTTGGATCTGTGCGTGGACTTCTTTTTGAAGTTGCTTGTTGAAGTTTGAAGTTGCTTACTTATTTTATTTAGTACACCATTTATTACAAAATATAATATCGTTTTCTAATAAGTTTCCAGTTAAATGAAAAAATAATTAGGAACAATAAATTATTTACAAGATTTCTGCTTCATTCTTTGTTTTTCTAATTATTTTATTAATTTTTTCAAGTTTTTATAGTTATAAAATTGTAAATTAAATGTTCCCTACTTGGGGGCATAGACTTTTTTAAAATATTCTTTACCTCTAATATCATACTAAGCTTCGCTTTTAATTAGTTTTTTTTTCCTACATTCGATTACAAAAAATAAAAATAAATAGAAAATAGAAAAAATATAATCTTTTTTTAAATACATTACAAAATTAATTAAAAAATCCTCAGGAATTTTAAAAATAATTCTTAGTTCACAGTTTAACAATATTTACAAAAATTGATAATACAGTTAATGAAAAACTAAAGTAAATTGTCAGGAAGGAATAAAAAATATATTAAAGTTAAAAAGTAAAAAAAAATTCTTGAAAATAAATCTAAATTACAATATTCAAATTGAATTAAATTGATTTGTATTCAAAACAATCCCATTAAGATATGAAGTATATATTACCAAATTATTCATTTTATGGATTATGAATATTGTCATTGTCATTTTATTATCATTCCAGAAATATAATAAAAAATAAAATAGAAAAATATCTAACTACTCTATATCTTAAACTGTCATTTACCTTCCTTATCATAAAGCCTGAATGCTTCCCTCAACTCCTTCTGCATAGCTTCATCATCTTCTTCAACTATGAACTTAGCAGCTAAAGTAACAAACTCCTCAAACTCGAGACGGCCAGACTCTGTCCAAACAAAGCTAAATTTAATATTTTTTTAAATGTTAATAAATAGTTGTATACTATGATTAATTAAAATATATAGTTTCAGAGCAGTAATTAATTTGAGTTATAGGAAATATCCGTGGGCGAGAAGCCAGAGAAGAAGAGGCCACGACCCAGTGTTGGCCAGTGCCCCGTGGGGGTGTGTTAGAAGTAAACAGGCGCTTCTATGCCAAGTCCATCTCAACTGAGCTGTGATGGACTTCGATATAAATGGGCCACAGAATAAACTAGCAGCTGTTTGGATCCGTCAGTTTGGGCCCCATTCAACTTTCCTTTTACTCACATCTATGTTGCATCCAGTATACAAGCCAACTGAAACTTATCTTGTGATCTGATTTGTATTTAAATCAATTTTAGATTCCTTTTGAGGCAATTTATTTAAGCTTTGTATGAATTAATACAAAGAGAAAATTTGTAAGAAAAAATTGCATAATCTTCAAATTTGGTAATGCTATAAATTTTTTGTATTTTTCCAGTCATTATTAAATATCTAATTTCTTCCTTGATAATGTCCTCCAACTATGATTAAACTATGTAGTATTGTTATAAAAGACACCATTCAAGATAAGTAGTTTATTAATTGGTAATAAATTATGTCTGAAATTACACTTGAAAGAAATTAAATTTTAATTGTTTTCAATTTTTAATTTTGCTTTAGATGTTAATATGTTTTCATCAATAAAAAAAAAAAAAAAAAATATAGCCAATTAAAAATTAGCTTCAAATATTTTTTTCTAGTTCCGGAAAAAACTATTTCATGAACAATTTGTATAGCAGCTATTTGTATAAGTTGGAATGGCATAAGATCATGTAATGAAATTGCAAACAATTAGATAACTCTTATGCCATAAACATTAATAATTATTAAGCTAACAATGAAAGTGATGAAAGACACAATTATAAACCCAAAATTTTAAATTTATTGATATTTAAATATACTTGATAGAATGTGTTGAAAATAACATAAGCATATCCAATAATAATGTATTTTTTATAAGATAAATTCAGCCATTATTATGCATTTATTATTTTTATGTGATATAAATATTGATTTTTTTTTTTTACTAATTGCTTGTATGTCTATTTTCCTACAAAACATTTTATAACATAATTTGGCAAATTGGATGTGTCACACTTTGCTTCTAAGTGGTTCATAAAAATATGGGCATCATTTAAATGTATGTTTAAAAAACTTAACCAGGGTTTTAAAATTGTCAATGTCATTATGGAGTGATTAGGTGACTAATTACGACACATTGTGAGTAAATAATATAAACAAATTGTTGGTTTGCTCATTGTCCACTTTAACTTGTGGTGTTTTCTAAGGAAATGTATTTATAATAAGAATAAATAAAATCACAAAATTACTTACTGTCAGCATCAACCTCATCAATGAGTTCATCAAGAATCTTCTTATTGAAAGGCTGGCCCATAAGCCTGAGGATATCTGCTACCATGTCAGTGGGGATGGATCCAGACTTTTCACGGTCAAAAGCATCAAAGGCCTTCTTCAAGACTGATATCTGTTCTGGGGGTAACTCATCCTACGACACACAAAACAATGCAAATGTGACATATAAATTACAAATTACTTTAATTGTATTTGTTATTAGATTTAAGAAGTTCAATCGAAATTCTTTTATCACTGTTATGACAAATATTGTTTGGTTTAAAAGGAATTTTATAAATTAACAATGAATTCATTTCAATTTTAGTACGATGACATAGTAAACACAGAATATAAACAAAACATCAGGAAATTCAGTTATTATATTCAGTAAGATTAAAAAGATTTAAATCAATGTGAGCTTCTACCCTTGAAAAACTGTATTATGATAGTAACATTGAGCTATAAAATAATGTACTTATAATTTCTTTAAAATATTACCATAATGATATTAATAATAATACACCATTATATCACTTGACACAAATCTGAAACACTTACCATGTTTGTGGTTTGAAGGACTTTGTTGGTGGTTGCAAGCTATTGGAAAGTTTGGTAGCGGTGGAAACGAATATGTATATCCAGCCAAGCCCCTCTCCTGCCCCGCTGGGTGGAGGGTGGGGAGCTATAGCTGATTCAAGCCTCCATGCCTTCAAGCTATTAATAACAACCCAGAGAGTAGAAGCTTGGGGTGGCCAGCTCCATCCTGAAACAAGAATAGATCCCAAGCTATAATCTCCAGGAAACCACTGTATTCTACTCCATTCCCAAAGGCCCCGCCCCCATCCTCCCCATCATCTTCTGTATTCGTGTATTTTATCTTTTTTTTTTCCTGCAAATGATTTTTCATTTCAACAGGCTAACTTATCCGTCCAAAAAAAAATAAAATAAATTATATCTCTTCTTTTGTTTCTTAATGGGTTGCAGGATTCAGTATTAATTAGAACACTTTATTAATTCCTATGTTTGTTACATCACTTAAAGAAACAAATAAACACTTGTTGATATTTATAAACTTTCTAAGAATAATAAGATTTGATATTATGTATTACCTGTAAAAATAACTAGCAGAACAAAGAATTATTTTGTTATTAATTTAATGTCACTACAATGGTATATTTACAATTAATTTATAAATCTTTGACTTATTAGTTATCAGTTCATCAATATTAATCATAATTATAATTAGCAGCAAGTTAATAGCAATAATAAAAAAAAATCAATTGTTTATGTATATTGTGTTCATTGTAGTAATTCATAATAGACTACAATGAATGACAGATGAGAGTTGCAGGTTAGTATTCGGTATTGCCCGATGATTGATGGCTAACAGATGCACAGCAATATTCTATCTCATTTAATAAATATACTCGAATCTGACTTGACGCAGTAATAATTTTAATATAAAATTTACTAATTGTCTATTATTAATTGATTTTTATCATTATACTATTACAATACAATTAATTATTCTATTATTATTCAGATAAAATAATAAAAATATTTATAGGAAAAAAAATATGAATGAAATTTTCATATACTGAAGAGGAGACAATATAATCAAAATATCCCTATTGTACATACTAAGTCAATCAATAAAATGAGTTTGTTGTATTGGCATTTATGAACCTCTCTTTTGTTTTCATTTAAAAAGGTCTTCGACTAGTTATTAATAAGTTTTCAAATAGTTTCCTCTATAATTTAGTTGCATAACTTGATAAAATCAGGCTATTTTGCACTCAGTCTAAAGTTTTAAATAGATTTTTATCAACAATGTTTCTAAATAGAAATTTTCAAACTTTGGCCCATGTGTACTCGTCTGTTTACTGGCTTCGTTTTCAATGTTTGTGACTATATTTAACAGAGATTTAACTCTAAACCAAAATAAAACAATCCAATCGAAAATGTCGGTCTGAAAATAGCAGCTTAAATAACAATAACTTATCACCACGAAAAAAATAATAATAAAGTTGTTAATTAAATATTCTTCCGTCAAAGAAAGATGATGAAACATTGATAAATAACACGTTTTAAAATATATTCATTAATATGCGACAACAGGCCGCCATTTTACTTGTTTCTTCTTCAAACTGTGGCCTACGTTTTGTATGTAATAGGTGTAATTATAAAACGAGTATTACCCTCTGCGTCGTGACAAGTACTAAAACAAAATATGTTATCAACTTTATAATAATTATAACTGAAATATTATATAGTGCTCTCATACAAGCCCTCAATCATGATCGGTAACTTTTAAGTCCAATCCTTAATTACCCTTCATCTGCATTTATTCAACACGTTTAAAGTTAACAGTTAAATTCCGATAATTAAAATTGTAGTACATGCAATGAATAGTAAAATAAATTTTCTTATATATTAAAAATGTTTCAACTTTAACTATTTTTTTTAATAATCAAGCAATCAATCCAGGGATGTTTTTTTCCCATACCAGATCGATGGATCAACTTCAAATTATTTCGATTCTGGAGGGGTATAGAAAAGTAGATCATGTGCCATAAAAAAAAAAAACGAAAGGATATCGTAATATTTTTTTTATAGAAGACCTCGCGCCGAAATGAAACGAATTGAATCTCCATCTTAAAACCCTTTTGTCATGGAGAAATATATCGGCCTTGAAGGAAGTTTTATGAGCCAGATTATTTATTTACTCCGAATTTTTTGTCATTTCCATCACGGGCGGATCTACGGGGGGGGGGAGGCTTTCGGGCTGAAGCCCTTCCCTCCCCCAAAATGGTAAAATATAACCATGTTTTATAGAAAAAAAAAATCAAAAAATACCTCTTAAAGTATTATTGTAATTACATTTAAAAGGATTTATGGAATCACTTAAACACCATTTCATATAGGTAGTTAGTTACCTTCTGTTTTCCCAAAGTAATTATCATAATTTTTATGAAAAAAAAAGGATTCGGGCTGAAGCCCTCCAAAAATTAAATCCTGGATTCCCTAGTGATCTCCATAGAACTATTGAATTTATTTTCTGTTGCTAGGATGATTATATTTCTCCATTTAACAAAAATACTTTTATATTTGCTAATGATTTATTAAAATAGCATGCGCTGTCCATAATGAATAAATTAATCACAGTGTATTCACCAAACTAAATTTTATCCGCTTGTCCTTTGTCCCTTGTCCCAAAATTACCACATCTTACGGTATATATACCTATTTCTGCCATAAATACTGTTACAAAAGTTGAACTTTGTTTACATCCTTGGGTATTATTTAGATAATCCTTACCTCTATCAGGTTATTTTCTTTACATGCCAGGATAATAATCCCAATTAGTTTGTATTCTTCTTTCGCTCTGTTAACATGTAGTGGGGTGATAAATAAAACCGAATAGTTGTGATCGCCTTACACAAAGTTGGAAAATGTAGGAGAAAGATTTTCAACACTTTGAAACCTTTTGGTATCAGCGGTATGTTCGTGTACTGCACTATAAATAGATATAATAAAGCCTGTACAGTCCCCGCACTGTGAGAACGGCAAGTGCAGTGAGTGCAGTGGCTGCTCGAATTAAAAGAAATCCTATTCGAAAACAACAAATCATGTCTCGATAAATGGAAATCTCTATTAAATGAATGTCTCGCATAATAAAAACTGACCTTAGGATGGGTTCGTTTCGAAGAATGAAAGGACAAAGGCTAATCACTTTCCTAAAAAAAAAAAAATAGAGTGGATAGATACAAAATGCTCCTTGGCCGTTACACTAATGGTATTCATCGAAAGATTTTGTTTAGCGATGAGAAAATTTTTACAATTGAAGAACAATTTAATTGCCTAAATGATCGTGTGTACGCACACAGCTCTAAAGAAGTCCAGGAAGTCATTGGAAGAGTGGAAAGAGGTCATCACCCTTCCTCAGTGATGGTTTGGTGAGGAGTTTGCTTTGATGGCACCACAAAGCCTCATTTTTGTAAAAAAGAAGTTAAAACAGCCGCTAAAAACTATCAGGGCGATATTTTGGAACCTGTTGTCAAGCCTCTAACTGATAATTTGATTGCTGAAAGTTGTTGAGTTTTCCAGCAGGATTCCGCTCCAGCTCACAAGGTCAGGTCAACTCAGCGGTGGCTACAATAAAACATTCCAGAGTTCATCTCTGCCTCGGATTGACACGCGACAGAGCACACCCTAACTTGGGAAGCCTCAATCTCTAGTCGGAGCAGTTGAGCGCTTTCCTCAAGAAGTGCTGCGTGCTGCTATTTATGACTGGCCACGGAGATTAAATGCCAGTGTCAAAGCAAAAAGGAGACATTTTGAGTAATTTCTTTTTTCTTTTACTCTCTATAGATATACATTTTATTTTCTAATAAAGTTTTTGAAAAAAATAATTTTCCTGTTGAAATCTGTATATATTTCCTTGTAACAATATTTATGACAGGACTAGGTAATATATAGTATTCCATTTTTTATTTAAAAGCTTTAATTCATTAAGTAAAGCGACGTTCATTGTCAAGTAAATTCTATTTTAACGTAATGACAGATATAGTTTTTTTCTTGTAGGTGCCAATGTTACTTACAAAACATAATACAATGGAGACAAGTATTGGGTATGTTTAAATGTTCGTTTGAACATTCCAACTTTCCTAGGTTATAAGTTCAAGTTCTTTTAGAAGCAAATAGGCATGTGAAAATCCCCAAAGCCCAATCCTTAACTGACAGTGAACAGTTTCTTCTTTTTTTGCTTCTGTTTGGAGCAATGGTTCAAGATCTTTATCTCATTTAGCATTTATTCTTGTTGTTCCCATTAGGTTTGCTTAATTTTTCCAAATTTCTTGTTATATTTTCTCAAAAAAAGTCTTTTAAAGAGACTGTAATGGGGTTCGTTCCTTGCTTTCTTGAAATGCGAGTCGCTTGATTAGCTAATTCATCTCATAGTGTGAAGAGTCCCATATGAACACGATTTCCTTGCCTTTATATTTAAATTAACACCAATGATTTATCATTTCCCTTCGATGTTATTAAAATGAAATATAAAAAAATATGCTGATTTGATAAATACGTTTTTTTTTAATCTTTATTTTTCATGATACATCGTCTTCATATTTCCATCTACATCTGGCATAAGCTTGACAAATAGCAGAAATATTGTAACTAATAACAAAATTGACATTTTAGGCATGGGGAAAAATAGAATCCAGCAGCACTTCTTCCTGGTATTGGTTTATTTCCTTAATTCATGAAACGAGATCTCTCATCCAGCTCCTCTTTATTTGTGTCCTGATGGGCATGTCAGCTATGGCCATGTCGTTAATAAGTCCGTTGTGATGTCCGTGTAGTTTAAAATGAAATCTTGAGTAGAGATCACGTATGTGTTGGTCGATAGTTGGTTGTCGTAAGTCGTTATGTAAAGTTTTGTTGTTTGCGTGCCAAGGAGCTCCTGTTATAAGTCATACATTTTTGGACTGAAATGTCTGTAGTTTTTGAAAGTGCGTTTTTTTTGCCATACATTTTTCTTCTTTGTGAAGCGTTTGTCCATATGGGTTTGAGTAGTATGTATGAGGTAGTATAGTTTTGATTTTAAAGAGAAGTCTCTGATGCCAGATTTTATCGAATGCCTGGGCAGCATCCAGAAACACAGCGGTTGCATATTGTTCTAGTGCTTGCTTTGCTCTAGTGCTTCAGCAATATAATCAGTAACTCTGTGTAATTGGTGTGTAGTTAAATGAAATGTACGAAAGCCGAATTTATGGCAGGAATTATGTTTGGCCCGTTAGTATGTCAACCAATCTTTTGTATATTAATTTTCGAATGCTTTGGAACATATTGGAAGGAGTCTGATAGGTCGGTAGGATGTAGGATTGAAAATGTCTTTGTCTCTTTTGTGTATCATTTTTATATGTGAATATTTCCATTGTAGTGGGAATTTAGTTGTCCTTAGCATACAGTTGTATATTGTTGTAAGGAACACTAGTGCTTTCCTGGGCATTTGCTGGAGCGCCTCGGCAGTTATTAAGTCATAACCTGGAGATTTTCTTTTAGGTAATTGTTTGATTTGTTGTGCAACTTGTGGAGGAGTGAACGAGAGAGGTGATAGTGTCAACGGTAATGGTATATCTAGAGTATTTAGTACTAAGGTTTCATGTTCTGTGTTCATAAAGTCAGTAAATGGTGTAAATACAGATGATAGATGGTCAGCAAATAATTCAGATTTTTCCCTATCTCACAAAGCCCATGAACCATCCTCTTTTCGCAAGGAGACTGACACCTCCCGATGTTTTAACAAATTCTTGGTATGCTTCCATCGTCAGTCGACAGGCTGTTGTCGCATTGAATTTGTGTATTAGTCGTTTCAGTTCATTATTCAGTCTCTTAAATGTTCGTTTATTTGAGAGAAGTCTGTTAGTCTGCCATATCTTACGTACTCTTTTCTTTGCCGTGATCAAGTCCCTTATATATTGAGGATATCTCGGCAAGTTCTTTGGCCTTGATGACGTCGGAAGACATGATACCCAAGGAACTTTTTGGGAACTGTTGGTAAATTTGTCTACTGCCTCATTTAATTTTTCTTCAGTTTTAATTGATCCGGGGATTGAAAGTTCTGAATCCATAAATGTTTTATAACCATACCAATCCATCTTTGCATTGATGAGCTTTGAGTTTCGTGGAAAGTTGATGGGCTCATCTAGGATAACCAAGTGTATAATGGAATGATCAGAGCTTGTATTTATAATGAGAGGTATGGTTCGTAGTCCTGTGGTTACAAAAAAAGTCTAATAGGTCTGGAGTTTTCTGTCGCGAAGCTGGCCAATATGTCGGTGTATCAGGTGATATAGTGTCTAATGATAGTTCATGGATAGCATTCCTCAAATTTCTTCCTCTAGATGTGCATAGTCGTGAACCCCAAAATTGGTGCTTTGCGTTAAAGTTATCACCCACTATCAAGCAACGCCCAAGGCTTTGAAAATAATTGCAAAACATCGAAGGTGTCAATGCGTACCTCGGAGGGCAATATACCGAAGCTATTGTTATTTTGTTATGTTTAGTATGTTGCGTTAACCCTGTGGTTTGTACATCAGGTGTTGTGGGTAAGTACAAGGAGTTATGTGAAAGTGATGTCTTTATTAGTGTAGCCGTACCACCATGAGCTGTGTTGTCAGGGTGGTCTGTTCTGTGCGTAACGTAGCCTAAAATATGAAATTTAGATCCTGGTGAAAAGTGTGTTTCTATAAGTGTGTAAATAATTACAAGTTTAGAGTGTTTGTCTAATAAGTGCTGTTGTAGTCGAAAGCATTGGGCAGTTTCTAGTCCTTTCAGTCTGAC